ACTCATTGACTCTTCCTGTCTTTAGGTACGAGTCAGTGGTCATTGGCAATGGGCTGGCCAATCAGGTTTCAAACCCTGACGTGGATGTGGACATTACAAAGCCAGACATTGTGATTCGCAGTCAGATCGCAGTACTGAAGGAAATGACGAGCTGGCTCAAAGCTGCACACAGTGGCAATGATATCTCCATGGAAAGCGGTGAGGACACTAAACCCCATCTATGTTAAGTTTTTTTTTTTTCAGTAGTTGTCGCACACATCTGAAACTGTCTCTTTTTTTTTTCCCCCTAGATGATGACGGCAGCGGAGGAGAGGAGGAGAGCGGCAGCGGTTGTGACTCTCCCTCCTGCGACACAGACGACATCTACTTCTCAACTCCACCAAACCCCGGCAATCCCCGGGTCAGACCGGTGGTGAACAATCCTTCAGCTGCAGCCTTCTCACAGGGGAGCGTGGCGCTGGCGCTCTGCGGGCTGGCCCTGGCCCTGCTGGCTCCTCACTTAAGATAAAAACCAGCTCGGCAGGGAGAGAACGAGAAAGACCAGGAATGACCGAGCAAAGGGGAAAACTGTCAGAGACTTTAAAAAGACTGCCTTCAGGACCTTGGACTGTCCACCATTGGGGGGGAAGACTCTTCAAAATATTACATTAACTTCACCTTTAATTATTTGTTTGTATGTTTTAAAGACGTCAGTGTACATGGACTCTCTTCCTAAGACATTCACCTTTTCCCCGTTCCCCAGATAAACCTTTACTCCTTTTGGTTCTTTTGGTGCCAAACTATGGTTCTGCTTGCAGCGTGAGAAAAATGATGATTGTCTCTTTTGGCAATTCAATGAATAATTCACAATTGTACCTTCCTCAATGATCGCCGTCTGGTGAATACATAGTACGCTGAGTGTTCGGTGAATCACTGAGTGCCTGTGATGGAACATACCTTCATATTTCTGAGGACCTTCATCATGTTTTTATGAATGTTAACAATTTATAACAACCATTGTTGCACATTATGAAAGTGCATACTGTGAATGTTTTTGTCGGTCCATTCATGCTTGTGACACATCAGCCATTCAGATATTATGAAGCTAGCTATCTCAACCAAGAAACTGTCGAAGCTTTTGTTCCCTCCGCTTCGGAGAGACATTTAAATTTTCCCGCTCATTCGAAGAAACGCAGTGTGAGACGTTACAGCACAGGTGTTTGTTTGACCTCGGGATGGAATCCTCCTCTAGAGGAGCTTTTCATGTGCTCCCAAAACATGCACATTGTATGTCTGCTTTGAGCATTAGTACAACCTATTTTTTCATTTCCTTGTTTTAACTTAATGTCCTCAGCTAAAACATTTCATAATCAAGGTCATACCTCATGCGTGCCGTCATTGCCGATGCAATCGAGTGGTGTTGAAAGTGTCTGATCGAGTGGAGAGATGTGGCTGGCATCCTGGTGAAAGGTAACTGTTGTGGAAGAGGAAGGACTCCCTTGGCATTACCCCTTAAAGAAGGCAAAGCGAACAAGTCCTGAACGCCCTTTTTGGTACTGTAAGCTCAGTTGAGCACAGAGGATCTGGCTCCACACAGTCTTACTTGATTTATGGAAAGGTGTGCGGAGCATTCGACATGAAACTAGAGAAGAGGAACAAAAGACGGGGCTTTGATCAAATGAAATCAAGAAAAGATGATTTAAATACAGGGTTTATGTTGAAGAGGTGTTGTCATGTTTAGCTATTTTTGGTATGAAGATATATATTAGGTACTACAGTGGATTTTACATTTAGTTTTAGGTGGTGGGTATTGTGGGCACTTTTGGTCAGAATTTTCCGAGGTTCATTTTTTGCCCACATCCCCCGTCACACTTGTACCTCGTGAATGGCCCGTGTCAGTATAAATGACTCATCCTGAACCATCTGATTCACCCATCCTCATCCTCGTGTTCGTATTGTCTCAACTGGAGGTCAAATGTTCATTTTCACAAGTGCAACCAAAATTCATGTGATGTATGGTGCCTGATCTTTGTGTAAAACCTTGGTACATTACTAGCTTTTTCATGAGGTCAAAAAAAACAGTGTACATGTTGGTTCGTATCTTTATCTGCCACAATTCTCGAAAGGGTGTGAGGAATTGTAACGAGCTGCAGAGCACAACAAATGATTTTTGTAATCTTCTCATTTGATAGTCGGAATTTACGTTACATTACCGGACGAGTTCTCGTCTGATAGGATGCTGCCTCATGTAGTGTTTGTACAGTAACTTATGCATATTTTAATTTCATTGCAAACTTGCTTTTGGAACTGAAATAGCTTATCAACAATACAGTATTCAATGAACTCTTTCGTTTCTTAAAGTAATGTGTCAAACTGATGAGCTGTGGAGGCTTTGAATATGCATTTTGTAAAGTACAGAAAAGTTGAAATGTTAAATATGAGCACCATCGGTTGGCCTCTTGTTTGGCCCTACATGTTGACAGGTCGATTGTAAGCTTACAAGAAAATGTCTTCTAAAAAAGAAAAAGTGTTGTTCCCTCTTAGCACACGTGGAACACATCAACAAAGGAATCAATCATAAGAATTTGATATTGAAGGATTTGATCGAACATCAAAGCAGCCCTTATAAAGTACTGAAGCCTTAACTTAAAAGAATGACGCTGTGTTTCAGCAGCTTGATTTGGCATCGTTTGTGCATTTCACAAGTTCATTTCCAATAATTTTTGTGTTCCACTAACATTTCTACAAGGGCTTGTGCATATGTTTTTGTCATGTGGAAGAGTTGTATCCCGTGTGAAGACACCCGACGTTCTGACCGCCGTAGCAAACGTTTCGGGTGGTGATGGTAAAAGTCTGTGCTTGCGGGCCAGGGCAGCAACACTTTCCGGCCGGCGGGAGTTTGTCCAGCTGCTGGATGTTGTTCATTTCATCCATTGTCTAACTGAAGTCAAGAGACTTGAGAGTTCAGATGGATTTTTTTGTTCAAACTTCCCTTAGCCTTTGGCCCAGAACAACAGAAAGGACTCATATTTTGATGAGAGTGACTGAAAAGATGAGAAAAAAAAAGTGTGTAAATAAAGAGCAGCCGTTTTTAGATGTCTCTAAAAGAGGCCGTAACAGTAAAGCAGATTTTTACTTGTGAGAGTATCTCCTAAATGTTATGGGAAAACAAGATGAGATAGATGTTAAAATGTAAGAGAATATGTATATTAAACAACATTTCTTAGTCTTGTTGAAATAAAGACTGCCAATATTTAAATGTCTGTGTGGTCTCTTTGTGTTCTACACTTTCTCACAGGTCTGTCTCTGTGTTTGGAGGGTCAAGTGTCCACAGGTAAATGTAGTGACGCAACAATGGTGTGGGGAAAAAGTCAATGGATACTCAATTCTAAGTGTATTTGTGACAAAAAAGTTGAATAACTAGTTGAAGGTGTCACCAATTACACAAAATAACTTTGAGAGTTTTTAATCTCATCTGGTAGGCACTGATATGAAGAGGTAAGGAGGGTTTGACTTTGTAAAAGCAATAAAAAAAGACTTCTTCCTCTAGTGTAATTTAAACCAACTGCAACTGTACTGTACAAAATCTACAACCTCTCCTCATGGTCGTAAAGGAACACAGTCATTATGGTCCGTCTTGCGTAGGTTATGCACATTTACTTGGCACAGGTCTACTTTTTAATTTTGAACTAATCTTTGTTCAGGTAATACATAAATACGGGGGGGGGGGGGTAGTGGGTGTTGCTGGATGTAACAGATGTCTCATGTCATGTGTGTCTTGTAAGCTGCTACTGGATGCTTTTTTTTAATTTCCGTCAGGATCAATAAAGTATTCTATTTATTGAACAAGGTTGATACCATTGACATTAAGAACCTCTTTTCCAAGGGAGAACCTGACAGAGACAAAAAAAGTTAGGCTGAGACAGGATTTCCAGCATGGCGGCGTCTTCTGATGACCCTCAGGAGCCCCCTGCAGGAACAGATGGGTGACTCAGGCTTCGTCTATTAATATGTACACACATTAACAAGTTATCAAATGCTGCCTGAGGTCAGAGGTGTGAGATTTGAAACTTTCGAACAGCAAAAGCAGTCGTACTTTTTAGTTTTGTTTAAACTTGACTTGATATTTGAGCCCACTCTATATCGTTTAAAGTCGTATGGAGATGTTTGTATCACAAATATACTGTTTATTCATTCTACATATAAAGTGATTCAGGTTATTACACCCTTTCTCCTGCAGCCAACTCATGACTCAAGCATGACATGACTATAAAAAACAATGATAGGGGAATACAATAAAATGAGTGAGAACGTATGTCTGGATGTCAGTGTGGAGAGTGAAGAAAGGAGAGGTCACATATTCAGATATGTTTGGACAGTTGCTGCGTTTGGTGTTGAGATACATTTGGAAACTCAATATTTCCTGAAATTCTGACAAAAGCCCTGCACGTCCTTTAACATCAGCTCAGAATTTGAAAAAGTTTGGCCCTCTGCATCAACAGTTTAAAAATAAACCTACACTTTACATTACTTTATTTTCTACCTGCATTGTGCCAGTTCCATAGACCAGTGGTTCCTGAAGAGGAGGTCATGAGACACTGAGAGGGGGGTTTCGAGATGCCTTCGATGACCACATAAAAACATTAAATGAAAATGGGAAAATACATATAAAGAATAATTGCATTTAAATACAACTATAGTAATTAAGTAAGATGTATGCTGAAATAAAAGTGATATGTATCATTTAAATGTAAGCTTGCACATGTGCAACAATGAGTCTGTAGCCCCCTATGAATTAAAACACACTAACATGACCTGTGTGTCTGTTTATTAAATGAATTATGTCCACTCAGTCCTACATTCAATTCATGGAGATACTGCTTGTAGCCTTTCTTACAATACATTACTAAAATAGGGACAGTGGGGGGGGGTACCCAGTCTCTAGCATGGTTATTTTGGGGGTCCCCAGCTGAAATGTTTGGGAACCCCTAAGCCGTAGTGCCATAGACGAGTGAGACAACCACTGCTGTGTGTTACACTGAAATCTGTCCGGAGGAAGTTGTGCACACGGCCTTGTCACAAAAGAAATGGCGAGCGGAATCGGCAGTGAGTAATATTTTCTACGCTTTTACGAATTTCCTTTTGATTTATAACAAACATTGCTCTTCCTCAGCTACAATATTGCAATACGTTTAGCTAGTTTTTGCCTGTGAGGTTGTGAGATAAAGAAAAAGCGTTTCACGATGTAGTCGTGTGAGTGTGTCTCATGAATGTGTCCCCCCCGTAATCAACACTGCTAAGCTAACGCTACTATTTATTTTATTAGATAACGCCATGTATTTATTACCTTTTCCAGAACTATATCTTCTGCCCGTTCCTTTACTTTTAAGAGTGGTTAAAATACTGTGCAAACCATTTCGCTTCCTCTAAAAGAAGTGCAAAGATTTACCATGAAAACATAACGCTAGCTAACAAGTTGGTCAACAATGTAGCTAACACAAGACAGCTGGTTAGTTTCAGTAATAATACTAAATGTAAGTCAGCTAACCAGACTGACTGCGGTTGTATTGTTTGTATTTTATTCTTATTTATATAATTTTGATTTACCATCATGTTAACATTTGAAACTCTAACCCTCATGAAGAATAAACAAAGTGCTCCACCAGTAAAAACACAACAACATCATCTGACCTGAGAGGATGGAGACATGTTTTTATATGTTGGCCTATTTGTATTCGTGTTTGTTGTTTGTTCCTTGTGCATGATCGAAATGTTTGATGACAGAATGATACCAAACAACTCATTTAAATACAACCACTCAAAATGATGTGACCTCTTGGTGCTATCTGTGTAATCTATCTGTCATTAAGCTGTGGGCTGACTAGACTACTTTGAGCTGTCACATTTTTATCATGTACGTTTTCTTTGTTTTACAGAACACAAGATACTGAATGTGGGGCCAACAGAGCCCTGGTCCGTCAGGGAGAAGCTGTGCCTGGCCTCCTCTGTTATGAGGAGTGGTGACCAAAACTGGTAAAGAAATAAACCCTACTCAATAATTTATGTAAATAACAAAAAAAGGGCAGTCAAAGCAATTAATCAGAAAATGTACAACTTAGTGACGGCTGGTAACTGTGTCTGGTACCTGGTCATCCATATGATGTGCAGAGCAACAATGTTAATGTGAAAATAAAATCACTATCACCAGACACTCAACCTTGTTCTTGATATTAGCAGGAGAATAGCACAGTGGCTACATCGTGTTATTAACGATTTCCTCCAAGTCTTACCTGAACATCCCCTCTCTGCCTTACTTGTTACAACACTTTAAGTATAAAGAAACCATTACTACTGCCCAACAGTATCATTCTTATCCAGCTAGAAGACGCTGTTAGCCATTATTGCACGCTAATTCCAATATCGATGACAAAAGTAAAAAAAAAAAAAAAAAGACATTGTAAGTACAAAAAGAAGGCCCCTTAAAGGAGGCTGTCAATATATATATGTTCAATCGTATGTCTCTAAGGGGTTTTGTTTTTGAAGCAACCATGATCTGACTGCATTAAAAAAGTACCTTTACTCATAAATACAGTTTAAGAGACAGACTAAAAGTGTTTAATGAGCGTATTAGTTCACATACCTCATCAGGTTGTTTCTCTTCATGGGGACATGGAGCAAACATTCAGTTCTGTCTGCTCTCACATCTAATGTTCTCAACTAGAGGTCAGCCTTGCTCTAGTTATATGTTATACTGTGATATTGGTCAACGGTGGAACAGGAATTTGCCAACCAATAACCAGTTTATAAGAGATGACCTGGTTTGAATGTTTATAAAAAAATGCATCAACATCACAATCCCTTTAAAAACCAAGAGACATAATGAATCATTGCTGCACTTTTTGATGGCTGTGGTTGAATTATGCAGCCAAACATTTTGCTTTACGAATAAATGTGGAAAGCTGTTGTTTTTTTTTTCTTACAGCCCTGACTTCTTTCTGTTGTCCTTTTCTGCCACATTGTCTAATTGTTCATTCTCTCCCTCTTTAAGGGTTTCTGTAAGTAGAGCCATCAAGCCTTTCTCAGAGCCTGGCCGTCCACCAGACTGGTTCTCACAAAAGGTGAGAGAGCTACCGACTCACAGTACTTCTGTCAGAGTGTGACTAACATTCGCCTCAGGATAACACGTTTTTCTCTCTGTCCCTCAGCACTGTGCGTCACAATACTCGGAGCTACTGGAGGCCACAGAAGCACCTAAGTATGTGTTATAATGCAGCCTTGGATACACTTTGATGAGCAGTTATGATCATGTTTTTTTTTTAAAAGGGAGAAAGTCTTTGTTAGTTAAATTTGTGTTTGTGCTGTCCATTCTCCAGGCGTAAGCGTGGGGAGAAAGGGGAGGTGGTCGAAACCATCGAAGACGTCATTGTTAGAAGGCTAACCGCTGAGAGGATAGAGGAACTAAAGAAATTACTGAGAGACACACAGGAGCAGTACAGGTGCATAAACATACAAAGATCTCTTAGAAGAAGTGTCAGGACTGTGGGACATGACCTTTTAATCCTCCTCTGTTTTTCTCTCCTGAAGGAAGTTGAAGAAGGAGGTGGATCTGATACAAACAGGTCACATGGACTCCCAGCTGAAGGAGCTGTGGACAGAGATCACAATGTAAGACAGTTCTTCTGCGCCATACCTGCTGACATGAACCTGTTTGCCATGTGTTTTCAAACTATTTAATTAGCCCCACGCACCACTAAACCAATAACGTTTTTCTATTAATGTTTTTTTCTTCATAAAAAGGAAGAATAAGAATACACTGAAGTAAACAAGTGTGTGATGTTTCTAATGATCACCTGGCTCTAAATTGGCACCTCTCCTGCAGTTCAAACCCAGAGCTACAAGCCTACTGCTGTTTTTCACACCATTAAACAATCCAGTATAATGTCTTCTTGTTGTTGATTGCTAATCAGCATTCTTTTCTAACCTCAGAAAGAAGAAGCAGGATGAGGAGGAAGCAGAACAGAAGAGGAAAGCCACAGAAACAGCATACCAAGGTAGGTTGCATCTGCAAATTCTTTTCACAATGCCTCCTTTAAATACTGTATGTGACATGTGAGTTTAGGGGTCATTACTGATATCGATATTAGGAAGAGAAAACCAAACCGATATCATCTGATAATTACATCTTACATCTATCTTTGATGTGTAGAGATAGATAGATATAGACGTTTATTGTGTTGATCCCTCAAATGCAAACACTTGTGGAAAAGACAAGACGGTCACTCAACTGAAAAGTAACCGAGCATGTATGTACATCACTGCTTGACACTCTGGAGAGTAATAATGCTTGTTGTAATCCATACAGCGCCCTCTGCTGGTGAAAGAGAACTGCCAGTGTAATCAGAGAAAGTCAAATGAAATTCTATTGGCAGGTGAATAAGTCGAGTAACATGGGTGAATATCTGCGATAAAATTAGCCGATAGTCACTGAATATGGTCATATCTCCCGATATTAGCGGCTGGCTGATTAATTGGTCAGGCTCTATCATGTATTTAATAATTATCTCTTTGATAGATGTCAAATGTATGCATCATTCAATATACCTCTATAAAGCTCTCTGGTCAACTCTGGTTCTTTCAGATGTGGTATATAAATGAAGTTGACTTGACATAGATATCCTAACATATTCACATAGGAAATGGTACATTAAGAAGCAGTCCACATGGGTAAAGAATCCAAACCAATAATGTGGATTAACCGTCAGAATGCAACAAAACTAACACAAGAGTTTTTCTGATTCCTTAAAGATGTCCACTTCAACAGATTGATTCTTTCTCTCTCTCTCTCTGTGACCTTTCACTTCCTCACAGTTCGACAGGCTATGAAAAACACCCCTAAGCGGCAGCCCAGTGTTACTGTACGTTCTCCCCTGGGTGCGAGTCCACCCACCGTGGACTCTCAGGGGGACGCTTCAGTCCAGACACCGCCCATGGATACTGGAGCAGTGACCTCTGAGGACACCACCACCAAAACCCACTCAGTGGTAAGAAAATATTCCTTTAAAACAGCATTCAGGTAATGTAGCAGTTATGAGACACCAGAGGAGTACAGACGAGACATGAGCAGTCTGTAGCATAGAAATCCTGATTATAGACGATGTTTCCTGTCTGGTCCTTTAAAATGAATTTCTCAGAACAGATGAGTACTCAAGAATTCAGACTTCAATGTTATTGTCAAATACACAATGTGTCAACATGGGGACCTCTAGTCTTCAATGAGTCCATGTTTCAACATTTACAAAGCTATCTGTTTGGTTAATCTCAGCTCCATCTGTAAGGAATTAGTTCAGATGTTGCAGCTCACTGTGCCAACTGACTTTCTCTCACTGGACACCAGGCCCAGGGGGTAGGAGTGTTTCTTCCAGTGATGGATGCTCCAGGCCCGGGGCCGAAGGATGGAGGCCTGGCTGCTCTAGTAGACGATACACCGCAAAAAAGACTCATCGCCCAGAAGGCCACACCGCCACCATCACCTCTCCTGTCAGAACTGCTGAAAAAAGGCAACCTCATCTCCGCCAGCCCCCGTCTGGTAAGAGCTGGCCGCGCTTGAATCATTACATTTGACAACACATGATCACAGGAATTGAAAACTTTATTGGCATAGTAGGGAAAATTTACTTAACATGCAATGCTGTGAAACCGAGCTTTAGAAGAACCTTTCAAATGTGAGCGTGCTGTACAAAAGGAAATGATGCACTACCTATAAACTAACTTGTGTTGTTCTTGAATTTTGTGATGTCAGGTTGGGGAGGGAGACTGCACAGGGAGCCTTACTAATGGAGTGCAGACGGCCACCGTCACCACTGCTTTACCAGCCAGTCATGAGGTCATCACAGGTAAAATATCATCTGTATTACTGATAGTTGATGAACATGAATACACACTCTTACTGTTTCTGACTCCGTTTGCTGATTAAAGACAGAACTATGAAATGTTATGATAATTAAAAGAACTATTAGAGGTGGGGGGGATCGTTACAGCACAGTATCGCAATATTTTGTGTTGCGATATCAATATTTTTATTATATTAATTGTTAATGTGCTTTTTCTTTATTTCTGAAGGGGTTTCACAATTCATTTTGAACAAGTTGCATTGTTCAAAACTCATGTTCAAGTTCGATTAGACTGAAACACCAAGAGTTCAGATTGTGAGGCGCATGCAGCCTCTTACAGGGTTTTACTCTTATCACAGTGTTGGTCCGTCTGTGGGCTCGACTCCCGTTGTGAGTGAGATCAATAGACTGAGAATCTTGTCTTATTCGACAAAACAGTTCTCGATATAGTTTAATATTGTGGACATAATATGCAGCTAAAAAAGCTTAAACGCAATATATTGAATCGCAATTCTCAGCATATCACAAAATGTTTCAAATCGCAATAGTATGGTGTGACGATATCGTATCGTGGGGCCTCTGGTCATTCCCACCCCTAATAACTATACGGTACTGCAAAAACTGTGAAGTAATTTTAGAACTGTAAGTGAGCACATCAGGACAACAGGATGGCTCTGCATTGATTTGTCTCTGTTTGTGTCTGCAGTGGGTGAAGCTGAAGTGAAAGTAGAGCTGGGAGAGGAGACGGGATTAGTGGAAGAGGACCTTGTAGCTGTGTCCTACATGGGAGATGAATTGGACCTGGAGACAGTGGGAGACATTATTGCCATCATCGAGGAGAAGGTGTGTACTTCTACTTTTCATGCATACTGTTTATTTGTCATTTTGTAACACAAAATAATCGTTTTTTTGTCTCTGTCCTTCTTTCTGCCCAGGTCGATGACTCTGTGGAGGCTTTGGATGCAGCAGCAGTGGAAGCCGCTCTCTCTCTCTGTGAAGAGGCCGTCTCAGAGGGACACACCCTTCCTGGCCCGTGGGAGACCCAGGAGCTGAAGGCTTCAGACCCAGCACCCCCAATTCCAGACTCTGATCCTACACAGGAGCCTCAGAATGTGACCCCAGTGTCCGCCTTAATCCCTTCAGGCATAGAGACCTCGAATCAACCAGAAACTAAAAGAGAAGAGCAGCTTCAGGGAAACTGCCAAGGACATGAAGTGACAGGAAGTGATGTCACTTCTTCTGTCAACTGTAATGACAGAGCTTCAGGGAACGAGGTTATGGAGGAGGGGTTGGCAGGTAGGGAAGTCACTGAAGCAACAGTGAAGAGTGAAGGAGAGGAATGGTGCCAGCCGGAGCCCAACCCTCCTTGTCTGGGTAGGTGCTGTTCTTATGTGAACAGAAGTCGAGCCTCTATATTCACACGTTTTGTATTCATGTTCTGATTTTCTCCCACAGACTCTGAGGACAGCTCAGTGTCTGGGAAAGAGTCCAAGGTAAGACCCGTACGGACACTCACACACACCCACACTTTGGTAAGCCCAGTCATTTGACTCGTTATCTGTCTGCTCCTGGATCCAGGAGGTGAAGGAGGAAGACGTAGGCAGCGAAGGTGACCCAGATGAAGGAATGGAGCTGAAGGAGGAATGTGGGGAGGGGGATGGTCCCTATCTGTCTGAGGTGGAGCGGGCAGCTAGCGAGAGTGAAGACGGATATGGACCTCCCTCCCAACGCTACACAGTAGATTCACTGGCCAGCAGCCCGGCCTCTTCCTCTCAGCTGTAAGTGTCCACAGAGAAAGGACTGTGATCACGGGGCTGTTATAATCCTTTCTTCTACTTTGTGAACTATGTAGAGGTGAAGTGAGTCTATGGTGATGTCCTAGAAGAATCCCTTAAAATCCTCTTGTCGTTTGTTGTTTTCTCTTTCTTGTTATAGATCTACTTGCGGCGAGGACCAAGAGGCTGTCCAGGCTCAGAAGATCTGGAAGAAAGCCATTATGCTGGTGTGGAGAGCTGCAGCCAACCACAGGTGGAGCATCATCAATCAGAAATACTTTATTAATCCCAGGGGGAATTCGGTTGTTACCATTGCTCATAAAACACAAAACAGCAGTAGGAAATATAGAAATAATTTAAGATGTAAAGATTGCATGGTATATTGATAAGGCTCAATATGAACAAATGCTTCCAGTACAACAGTCAATCAGAGTCTTTCTTCGTCAAATTATATATCTATACCTCACTCAAACTCAAAATATTTATCACACTTCGGTTTCTTTAAGGCTTTCACACCAACCTGTTAGAAGGAGACATGTTAGAAGAGGACGATCTATAATAAATGATACTGAGCAGATTTGCCCTGATGTACTTTTCCACAAAACTGTACAGGCTTATACATGTAATACTAAAAAATACTGACATCATGAGCACTAATTAACTAAAAGCCTGTCTCATAAGGCCCCTTCCTCCATTTAGAAATGCTGGTCCAATGTGTAAAAAAGTTCATTTTTTACACTTTTAAAGTAACAAGTTAGTCAAATATGAAAACTATTCTCTCTCCTCCATTCAAGGAAGTATCGATGTTTTACATGTTTCTAATTTCATGTTTGTCTCAGGTATGCGAGTGTCTTCCTGCAGCCTGTGTCAGATGACATTGCACCTGGTTACCATAGCATCGTACACAGGTAAAACCATTGTACTACACTTTGATTAACAACGGTACATTATGTTATTTTATTTTTAAACACATCACCTGCTTCCCCTTAACATCCTGCCTTCCCCAGACCTATGGACCTGTCAGCCATTAAGAAGAACATCGAGTCTGGTGTGATCCGCACAACGGCTGAGTTCCAGCGTGACATCATGCTGATGTTTCAGAACGCCGTCATGTACAACTCTTCAGACCACGATGTGTACCACATGGCGCTGGAGATGCAACGTGACGTCCTGGAGCATGTCCAGCAGTTCCTCGCCACCCAGCTCATCATGCAGACTTCGGAGAGCGCCATCTCCGCCAAGAGCCTCCGCGGGCGGGAGGGGAATCGTAAGCCAGGAGAGCCGGCTGAGAAGGTGGGTGGTGGGACTCGGTGAGGAGGATTTAGAAATATAATAATAATTATTAATAATGATGTATTACAATTCCCTTGAAGGGTGTGTCAAGTTTCAAACAAGTCCAATTTTTCTTAACAACAAATCTTCTTGGAATTCCGATAATTGAAGTGAATTAAAACCCGTTTTTACAGTTCAAAAGGTTTGTTAAAATCACAGAGTACAGGTCATACAGACATTTTTGAGAATTGTTGTTCAGCTCAGTGTTGTGAATGTGTGTTGTCCTGCTGCTGGGAGAAGTTGTTTTGCTTCTTTATGACCATTATGAAAATAGACTTCAATCACATCAGATCTTCATTAACAAATAATTCAACTTTGGAAATCTTTACTGATGTACATTGAATGAATTGTCGAGAACATAATTATGTGACAACTTTCAATGGTGTTGACAGAGTTGGTTTCTCCAAATTTAGTGGGGGAGAATCCCTAGACCCTCCTCTTACATTTGTGCATCACTAAATAAACTCTGTACGTTTCTGAAACTTAGTGGCATTGAATTGTACAAGAAGCCTCAAAATGTTGGCTTTTATGGACGACATTTTATTCTGGATGCATATCACATAACCCCCCAGCTGGCTACTTCATCCCACTGGCTCCCTACCCCATATGTCTGTGGAAAGCCCTGTAACAGGGGACTCTTATTGTGAAGGATTTCTCAGAAATAGAACATGTCTATCATCAAATTGTCCTAGCTTTAGTGGAGCTACAATTAGTGGAGATTTTCAAAAACACCTTAGGGAGTTACTGTGTTTAGAGCCTCTTATTTGACCACGAGTCACAGCCACAGCCCACTTCTTTTTATCATCTTGAATAAAGACCAGCGAGACATCAGTGGAAACACACCTTTAGCAGGTATGCTTCTTGTAAGGGAGTTAAATCTGTGCTGCACTTCGCTCAAGTGACTCAGAGTTAATTCATTCCAGCACATAGCCTTTGTCAAAGACCCAAAGAAACCAAAAGACATGCGCTACAAGTGAGCACACCCACTTAATGTTGCTGTTATTTGCTAAAATGTGGAGAGGGGAGAAAAAAAGTTTTTATTGCTGTGCCACAGTACACTTTTATTGTAAACACTTATGCTTCTGCTCTGAGTGTCTGGGCAAAACATGCAGAAGACTGGGGAACTCAATCTGAGCTGGTTTCTGTCACAGATGACTCTGCAGTGCTTCTTTTATTTACCTCCCACTGTGGCTGGGAGGTTGAGCAATCAGTGTAACCTTGTGTCTGCACTACAAGCAAATGTGTGTATTCAAACCGGTGATGATGATATGTCCTGGGGGATCTCCTCCCAGGCCTCGATCAGGGAATCAGTGAAATCCTGGACAGTCTGTGGCAGTGCATGGCCGCGTGGGATGCACCAATAATGAGGTCCCATTGCTTCATTGGATTGAGGTCAGAGCCAGTCATCATGGCATCAATGCTTTCGTCATCCAGAAGCTGCGTAAACACTCTGGCCACATGAGGCTGGGCATCGCACAGCATCAGCAGAGACCCAGTTCTTTGACGTTTAATTAGGTGCACGGAGATCGTAGCGGTCGCATGCATACCCTTTATGCACCGTGCAGCAGTCACAGTATTTTAACGTCACTCCCCGCTCCCATTGGCTCGAGGTGAATTCTCCGGAGAATATCCTGATGCATTCTCACATCAGCCCACTCCGACTTGCTTAGAAAAAAATAAAAGTCTGAGTGAAGAAATCGTCTGTTTACATTCACACATGGAGCTACTCGGGCAATTATCAGGAGTTTTTTAGGAGATTTTTGTAAGTGTGAAAGCCCTCAAAGACACTTACAGAATACTAAATGAGACTATGCTTCCCTAAATGGACAGATTGACATCCCTTAGGTTTCACTAACTTGGTGTAATACTGTGACAATTTGGTTCTCTTTAATTTGTTTGAGCAGTGTTGTATACATATTATGAAAATCATCTACCTGCCTTGTTACAACATTCTCATTACTAAGAAAAATGTGAAATAGTGTTTAGGTTTTATTTTGTTAGCAGGAGATAGTTTGTGACAAAGTCCCTGTCAAGACATAATCTTTGACATAGTTGTAGACTTACCAAGTCTCAAGTCTCACCTGTCTTAAGGCCACATCTATTGATGGACCTTGACTGATACAGATCGTCTTCCTTTGTACAGTTTGATGGTTAAGATCACAAACACATAACACATTCTGGGTCTCTGCATTGATTTGGCTTTGTTTTAACACCATGGCCTTCAGTTTCACTCTCAAATTTGAAAAATGAAGAGCGTCTAATGTCCTGACATCAATTTAAGAATATTCGCTAAATAATCAAATGCTTCAGATAACAGATGAAACATATTCACCCTCAGTTCTATAAGAGAGAAAAATCCACCAGTTTATTTTAATACTCAAAGAAACATAATCCAACTCTTTAAAACAAAACCATTAGTCTTTCTGATTTTGACAAATGGTATAACTTGGTTGTAACTGAATTATTCTGCATTTAACGGTCATGTGACTCCCGATGTGGTCTTTAAAAGGGCAAGGAAGGTCTCAATGCATTTTTTGGCGTTTGCAGTGTGCCAATCTCTCCAAAGTTTGACCCTGATTATTCATACCGTATCAAGCATCATTTATGTCAGACATGCACACCTTGTTTGAGTACACAACTTTCTCCTCCTCTCACTACAAGTGCTTCAGTGGAATATTCCCTGGTCCAGACATCCTCGCTGTTTCATGTCCTGCATGCTGGCTGTTTCTCTCCTCACTAACTTCTGTCTGTCTGCTTCCTGCATGTCACTCCCTCACTGTGTGGCTGCTTTTGTCTGTGATGAACTGTTGTGTGTGTGTGTGTGTGTGTGTGTGTGTGCGTGTGCGTGTGTGCGTGTGTGTAGGGTTTTTGTTTTTTTGCCTAACTGTTTGATCGTTGGAGTCTTAAGTGTGTGGCTTACAGACTTCCTGTTGGTCAGCGAATTTTTGAAGTATCATGGAATCTAGAAAAGTCGATATCAAAGGAAGTCAAGAAAAACTGATAAATGTTGTAAATGCTGTACTTGGAAGACAACATAAGGGGAAAATGCTCCACATATTAAAGGAAGAATGAGCGACTTTTTTGATCCAGTAGATGTCGCCCTAGAGCACCAGCACTAAAACAAAACAAACTGCTGTTTGGTGACACCTCTGTTCTGAAGCCTCCGCTCTCCTCCAGAGACACACCTCCAACACCTCTCCACTCGCGTTGGCACGAAGGAGTTATCAATAAGAACGCATCATAATTAAGCACCATTAAGTGCAAGCGGAGGAGAAAATTGTCCTTTGCTCGAGCTTCAAATCACTGTGTCCGTCATTGTTGTGTTAGCATGCTAATGTTAGCACAGTTTGGTTAACTCATAGCTTCATATTGTTCATAAACTGACACAGAATGACCGTGATCTAAACACACTTAGGTGAGCAGAGAGTATGTTATATTATTATTCTTTTCTCTAGTCCTTGACTAAAACAGCTTAAACACAAAACCGTCCTGTCCATGTAAACACAGCTGACGGAACTCACGCTTCTCCCGTATTGTAGACAGTCATGACTCAGAGAGATATTTACAGAGGATAAACTTGTTTTCTGCTGTCTTTATGTGTGAAATGTTGCACATTCTTCCTTAAATTAAAACGTTGTATCCATGTTAATCTGTTACAGAAATGTTTTTAGGAACCGTTTAGCTCAACACTACTGAATGATTATAATCATGTTGTCATGACAACTGTGGTGCGATGTTGTGAACTGTGTTAAGGCATGTTTGTGTGTATGAGATTGCTGAACTGCTCGTGTGGGTCTGATTTTCTCTCGTGTAGAGTTTATCTACGCGTATGTATCTGTTATTATTCAGTCCTGTCTTCTTGAAGTTGTGTGTGTGTGTGTGTGTGTGTGTTCTATGTTCCTTGCAGCAGTCCTATGGACGCTCGTTCCTCTGAGTTTCTCTGTGTTTAAAGCAGACTTGTAAGAAACTTGCTCTCTCACGCACATGTGTGTGTTTTCTCTCTCTTTCTCACTCCAATGTTTGTCCTCCTACAGGACAGTGTCCCAATGGCCTCTCCTGCTTTCCTTCTCTCTCTCTTTGTAAGTATTCAGGTTCTCCCTCAGATTTCACCAGATCCCGGCCATGTTCAGCACATGCTTCTGTCAGCCAAGAACACACAATCACACTCTGCACACATTCATTTATTTCTCTCATTTCTCTTCTTTTCTCTCTCTGTTCTGTTTCTGTAGCTGTTAAAGAAGCCTTAAAGTAAAAACAGAACCACTACATAAAAAGGATTAAAGTGGTTAAATTTCAAGAACAGCATAAAAACTGATCATGTTGTCCATGATAATAAAAAAAGTAACTTCAAATATCTATTACCAATCAGAGGTGTCTTTGGAGCCCTCTTACATATTTCCTTTGAGTGTAGGACATCATTTCAACATTTTGATGATGCCAGCGTAAAGGCCACTGAAACCAAACCAATAGATGATTCAAGATTATTCCCTAAATAAAAAAACAATAAAAAAGACCAATTTACAAGCTTGATGCCCAAATAATGAGATTATTTCCTTTGAAAAGGGATGAAGTAAATTTTAATAAGTAGAGCTTGACCCCCAAATATACCACAACCAGTCTAGTGCTTGCTCATGGAGGATTTCTGTTGGGATTCTGTGGATATAATGGAAAAGAGGGGTCCAGACCGGCTCTTTTTAAAAAGTGTCTTGAGATAACATTTGTTTGAATGATCACTTTTGTCATTGATTGATATTAACTCCAGGTTTACAGTTGACTAGTTCAGTCCTCTCATTATAATCAAAATGATACCAGAATCTGTATACTTGGTTAACAGTAGACTTGCTCAGAGGTCATATAGTATATATATGACTTTAATACTAAAAAGGGGATGTGTAGAATAATCAAGATGACATAAACCTTGTTCAACTTATATAACAAGTTTAAGACTGGACCCCAGTAAGATGGTGGTCTAATGGTTACACCCAGGAACGTCAAGTCAGCACGACACATCTCTTCTACTGTTTTATACCTTTGCTCTATTCTTCATCAGGACTTGGAGGGGATGGTTTGATCAAAGTTGATGGGCAGTTGCCTGTTAACAAAAGAAACGGCCTCACTGTCAAAACACTCAGATTTAGATTCATAAGATGCTAAATTCTAATTGTTGAACCCTAGTCACCTTAAAGGTAGGGTTGGTAATTTTAAACTTTTTAAGACTTTGGTTGAAATTGTCTTTAGGTCCTGACAGAAGCTAATAACCCATGTGATCTGAAAAAGGAAACAAAGAAAATCCGTCATCTGTATCAGTTTGTAAGTCTGTAAAAACTTCAACCAATATCTGCCACGAGGTACCAATCTGATGAACCAATCAGACGCCTCCCTGTCTCCCTGCTCGTTCTCTACCCTTTGCGTGCACTAGCCCACACTCAAAGTGTGACACCGATGACAAAGTTTATTCTGTGAGTTTACTTACCTCTGAATGAGACATGAGACGACGTAGTTTCTACACATGCGCTCGTGCATTTGAGTGAGGGGGCGTGGCTTATGAGGGAGCACAGAGGGGAGGGGGTGGGTACAGACAGGGCACTGAGGGAATGCTACTTTCAAAATCATGCTAGTTTTTGAAAATGACCAACCCTGCCTCTAAGTGTGTGACATCACCTTTTCTTACTAAGTCACAACTCAATTTGGAAAGGAGAATATAACTATAACACGGCTTTTAAAAATATGGTCTTGGTGGTTTTTGCTTCAGATTTTGTCTAGAAAAACGTCTTTGAATTTTGACAGGTCACATTTTGAAATTAGACTGCGACTGAAAGACAGTGTGGCTCTAATCCTACTAAACTCTCTCATCAAATACTTTCAACACTTTCAGAAAAAAAGAAGACAAACAGCCTGCAGCCATTCTTAGCTGTATCGATGTCTGAGGATGAGAATATTGATAAAGTTCATCTTTGGTTCTCACTCTTCCTCTCTCTGATGGCTCTACACACCTCTGATCACACTGCTGTGTCACCCTCATAAACTTTTAAGTTCAATTTTTCACGCACTACTCTCACCCATACGCACGCACGCACGCACGCACGCACACACACACACACACAGGCTCCAGTGACCTTTCATTACAGAACCCTCCGTCGACCTTCTGTTCATGACCCCATGCCGGTTTCCTGTGTTTTTCTGTTCACGTGCGATTGTTTGTCTCTGCATGTTCTAATTTATTTTCTCCTTCTTTTTCTGTTTGATTGTCTTTGTCTTGTTTATTGTTTTGTTTTATTTGATTATGCGTTTCTCATTTGGGGAGGAAGCCTTACTAGGTGGACTATGCTGTGATTTTTGCGCTCAGTCTTGTGAGGAGGCCCACCATAGGGTCTCCGTTCACTCTCTCCATCTGGCCTTTGACCTAGACACCGTTAATGCTAATTGTTGTTCCTGCTCTCCATTTTTCTTTTTTCTCTATCTCTCTATTACAGGACGGAGGCACCAGGGGTCGCCGTAGTGCCATGGAGGCTGACCTCAAAATGAAGAAATAGATTTTTCAGAACGAGCCACCACGAGAGAAAAAGCGCTGCTCTTTGGATCAGGGGACATGGAGCTTTATATGTTCTGGTCCCTTGGATTGTTTTCTAAGGAGGTGTGTGTGTATGTGTGAGTACAACGATCCGACTTAGGCATAGGTAAGGGTATATGTGGACGAGTATGTCTGTTGCTGCATCAAGCCTCCTCTTAATCACGTCATATGATTGGTTTATGTTCAGCTCACCACCTCCTCTTAGTATCATTTCACCAGCGAAGGTAGAACTTCATCATTTCACTTTACTGAGGAGCTGCAGCACAGAGAACAGAATCACCAGCAAAAGTTTGTTTGGGATGAGGTGATAGAGGCCAGAGGATTTGATCTTTTCTGAATCATGGATGTATAAAACTCATCCTGCACCCGAATGCAGCCAAGATACCCGGTCGACATCATTACATCACTTTTAGAATTTGAATGTGAGCTCCACATAAAAGCTATCGAGAAACCTTAATAACTGGATTTATTTTATTCTTTTTTTGTAAATGTGAGTAAGGATGAGTGTCTCCTTAGTTAGAAACGAATGAGGTCATTGATCTGGTGTTTGTTTAGTCATGGTGAGAAAGCGCCTGTGTGTTGTCCATGTGATTGCCCGTTAACTGCAAAGTTTGTAGATGAACTACTGACCTTCACAACTCCCCTACATTGAAGTCAGAACTCTTCTATATTAGCCTCATAACTAGCAGAGAGGTGAATCTATCAATTAAGAAACACCTTGCTATTAGTTAAAGTGACATCAACAGTTGGTGGTTGATTTGCGCCCCATGTGAGGACGCTCTTTCCTCCAGGCGGGGGGCCCGGGTTCGAATTGGACCTGTGGCTCCTTCCCCCCGCATGTTATTCCCCACTCTCTCCCTGATTTCTGACTCTTAGCGACTGTCCTGTCTCTCCAACAAAAAGGCATAAAAAGCCCCAAAATAAATCTGAACTGCATTCCAACACACAACGAAGTGTTTTGTCCAAATGCTGAATTAGCTTTCTGTTATTGAAGTGTTTAAATGCATATGGACTTGTGTGTTGACCCTGAGATTGCTCTCGAGTAGCAGAAATGAACATCCCTGATGTCCAGGGGTGCTGAATGCACCAAGGGAATTTAAGTAACAGAAAATCTTACTAAGGTGTTCTATGATGTAACCGTGATAAAACATTAAGAAAGAAGAAACATGTTCTCTTAACACAAACCTCCAATAAAAGTTGTTGTGAAATGAATGGATACAAATTAAAGGCCTGACACACCAAGGAGATCGCTCACTGTCGCTCCTAGTTGCACCGTCAGTGAGTGATCGTTACTCTAGTTTTTGCAGTGTGTCTGGTTCCATCGCTACCCGTCTGCCTTTTTATGGCCGATTGGACATGTTTAATCGACGTTGGTCCACGCTTTCACCATATTTGTCGCCTCTTCTGTTCTTTTTCCACTAAAAGACCAAGGGCTGACAATGCCAGTGTCAGTTTCAACTTTTTATCAGACATTATTCTCAATCAGTATGCTAACTATTATACGAGTGGTGAGAGGTGTCAGAGGTGTGAAAATGGTCTTCTAGTATCATAACAACATACTACTTCTGCCTGCTGGCCTTCCTTGGATCTATCTCAGATCTTAAGAAATTGATTGAAATAGATATAAACAAATGTGTTGCCTTGACTGTTATCAAACTTTAAGAAAATGTTTTTCTCACAGTTGAACAAAAGCCTTTATTGACCAGAATCCTTGGAAAAATCCAAGCATATATCCTTGGAAAATGATATATGCTCATTTCAGTGGATATTATGGGGCTCTAAAACAAAATGCTTTTTAAGGTAGATACTCAGAAAATCCCTCTGAAAACTCAAACGAATCCCTGACAAAATAGTGTTGAGTAATGTTGAATACAGTTAAGTGTGTTAATGGGCTGAAATAGATGTGGATAGTTGTTGCTGGATTCTTATCCGTTCATCACTTAGGACGTAGCCAGTGTGCTGATCGTGTAAAGAACGTGTTTGTGCTGCGTTAGAAGGGAGTATAAAAACCATGTTTTGTACCTGTGAGATGGATCAGTTTTGTGTCTGGGTAGCCAATACATGCATCATGTTTTCTGTTGTACATTTGTTAAATAAATAAGTTTATTTGATCTAAACCTGAAACAGTCTTGTGTGTTTCAGTTATTTTGTTTTATCTAGATCAACAGATTTCTCACCTCATGGACTGTTTGTTTTTTCAGAGTTCTGCTGATCAGATGCAGTCAGGGGGCTTAATGTCCAATCTGGATTCATTCATCTGACTCATTAACACCCCCAAACCCAGTTGGAGGTTAATGATTCATAGAATATCTCACCCCACACTTTCAACAGCAGATACACTAAAACTAAAAGCAGGAGACAAGTCACGTGTAGGAAAGTAGAACATTTATTTTACAAATGTATAAATAAACACACTTCAGGAGAGAGACCTGCCCGTTCCTGGAAGAAGTTACTGTCTAGTAGACTTCTAACATTCAACTTCTGACTGATGTACAAAATACTGTGGTCGTGTTTGTCAAACATTCATACAAGAGAAAGAACAATCCTCTGTAGAGCTAAATATATCAGGGGACTCCAGTACAGTCCAAATTAAAAAAGAATGAAACAAAGAATCAAAGTGAGGGTTTTCTGAACTGGAGCCCTAGCTGAAATCATGAATAACAGGGCTGGCAGAGGAGTAGAGCTTCCTCTTCACCAGCCTGTACTCCGGTCTCAGCTTCAACACTTTGTTGGTATCAAAAATGCGCTTGAGTGACGGCCAGCCGTCTCTCTCGTCTGCCTTGAAGATCACAGACAGCTCAAACGTCGGGGTCACACTTGGGTCTGGGGAGATGCTCCCCACAGACTTCAGGACATCTTTGCCCTGCACGTAGACCCTGATGGAGGCGCCCCGGAGCCCACAGGGCTCATCAGCAGAGGATCGCACCACATCCTGGCCCACCCTGGTGGTCATGTGGTGAGGCAGGAGCAGCACCTGGCAGTGGAGGGTGGATGCTTTGGCCTCTGTCAGACAGCGCTCGATCTGCTGGGTAATATCCTGCTTCTCTTCGTAGTCCAGACCGGCCTCCAAGTTTGCAACTGTAGAAAAAACAAAACAGTCACGTTAAAGTAAGTGACTTATTTCACAATCTACATTGATGTAAAGCAAAGTCACTGCCAGTACTGATAATAGGCTACATAAGCCTTTTTAAAGCACATCCAATGTCAGTATATCATAGGTAAGGCAAAGAGTTGACCCCTTTTTCTGATGTCACGATCATGTGATAACTTACATGTTTGTAATACTGCATAAATTAGACTGAATTATTATTAAAAATCACAATTGAAGGCTTTCTGAGGAGAAACCTTGTAAACAGCTCAGCATCTAATCAGCTGATTCAAGACCAGGATCAGTTGCATCAGAAAGGTCCCCGTCCTGGAGATGGGGCTAATACATATCCCTGTGGCCTCAGACACTCCAACTATGTATCGACCAAGTCTCCCCTGGCTTTTACTGTGAATCATTAAGAAAACATAATCCAGTACTTACAAGGAGAGTTGTTGTAATCGGTCTCATCGCAGCTTTCGACACTGCCCCGTCGGCCCGGGCTCGTCTGTTGGCCCGGAGATGTGAGCTGTGAAAAGTATTTTCCGATCATGTCCATGACACTTTGGTCCTCTGATATGACGGGAACTCCGTGTCCGAAGAGAAGAGCCGTAGTATACACCATCCTGATTCCTGTTTTTGAAGCTCCGGTATCTCCTCCAAGCGTGTAGTCTGTATCTTCTCCATGTATCGAGTTAGTCGGGCTGAGCAGCTCGGAGAGGAGCGCGGAGCTTTTATACTGAAGCAGCTGATCGTTGCATCAGCTGAGCGCATCGTCACGTTGTGGGCGGGGCCAACCGGTTCAATCGAGAAGGTTCCTGATTTGTTGCTCTGTGCTGGCGCAACATGTCCGGACGTTGCACAGAGGTTTACAGGGAAGCAGAGCTCACAATTATGATTAACAAGCGGGTTTAACATTTAAAAGAATAAACTGGATTGACTGTGTATTTCTGATATCTGCAGTGCAATTCTTTCTTCTCAAAATGAGCATTTAGTGGGCTAGGCTATAACCACACTGACATTATTCTGATCCTCAATTGTTATCTCAGAACCTATCCACCACAACATCATTTTCTGAGGAGAAAGTCACTTTTACCATTCATGTGTATTGGGCTTTCTGTTTTAGATATCTACAACCACAACGTCATTCTTCCTATTGGTCTACAGAATGGACATTAAAGATATCTGCAATTGAATTCTTCCAAGGAAATACAAGGCCTACAAGATATCTACTATCAGATAGAAATAGTTCAGATATCTAGCCTCTAGTTGTTACAAGTTGTAATTTTAATTGCAGCTATAACTAGGTCTATACTCAGATAAAGTGCGCGGAACATGTGCAATCATCTGACCTGATTTAGACGAGGAGGCTTGATGCAGCAATGGAAAAACCCGTCCACATGTGCCATTATCTGACAAGGACAGATAAGGTTGTTCTCACACACACACACTCACACACACACACACACACACACACACACACACACACACACACCTCCTTAGAAAAGAATCAAAGTGACCAGGATCTCAAATGGGAGTTTTCCATGGAAAGAACTGAACTTTTCATTTTGGATAGGAAGAGAGACATTGTGGATGTCTCAAATTGAAAGCCCTGTACCCATGAAAAGCAAAAAGTGAAATACTGTGGTGGATATGTTATAACAGTTGTTGATATTAAGAATGTAACTGTGAATATCTTTAATTAACTCTTCATGAGAGTTAATTAATAACAGTTTGATGAGATGACATTTTATTATAGAGATCTAAAATAGGCTTTTATTAGCCATAGAATACAAAGATGCTGCTTTCACATTTGTTAGGTTCTCATTTTATTGACAAGATGACGATACTACAGAAGCTATGCTCTTATAGTCTTTAACTTTGTTGACCTTCAGTAGTAAAGTGTAGATTTGAATCGGCATATCTATCTTATTATGGCCAAGTATTACCAAACTGGACTGATCTCATTGATTAATAATTTACCGGCTCAGATTGTTTCCCAGGTTGGATTGTAGTAACGCTAGTCAAATTATTAAATCCAGCTCTTATTGTCCTTTAACATACTCACACAGGTTTCCTTAAGGATGTTTCTGTGAGAGCACATCGGGTCTAGACATTGTGATGTGAGGCCTTCTTTACTCACAGGTGAGTAACAAAGTCTGACACATGGCTCACACACACCTGGTGGAGCGTCAAACACTCTTTATTTATCTGCCAGGGGAGGGAATACAGGAAAAAGTGAATGTATGTAGTTAGGTAATACAATACAATATCTCACTTGTTTAAGCTAGCTCAAGCAAAATCAGTTTCAGAATTTTTATTACGATTTTATTGTTATCTTAAATCAGCTTTCTTAGCGGGGTTCATGTGCCATTCTTGTATTTGATTTTTTTAACAATAGATTATAGATAGATATATTATGTAATAGATTATCAAACACAGTAAAAAGTATTTGCATCATTTGATGTATTTGATTTAAAACAGAGAAAAATAACAATTTGGAGTGCGGTCAATAAAAGTTTGGGTAGAGTGTAAAAAAAAAAGGAAATAAAAAATCCTTTAAACAGCATCTAAACAGTAAAAATAAACACACACAAATAAAGGCAGTGAAGTTTGCTTTTGAGTCAGCCCTACTGGGATAAGAGCAGACAGGAGGAAGGCTGTGTTTTTACAGGTTAACCACTCTCGCATGACTCACCTTCTTTGGAAAACTCCCTTCTGAGACGTCACTTATCTAATCGTGTTCACACTCAAGGCTGTCGTCAGAAGCCTTCCCACTAAGGAGGAAGTGTCCTTTGTTAGAACTGCAGTACTTATAATGTCTGTCTACACATCTCACATCTTCCTGATACTCTCAGTTCAGTCTTTAAAATGATGTGTGATATCTTTGTATCTTTGTGTGGTATTTTAAATTTGATGTTGTGAATGAAGCGGCTGCTGAGTTGCCAGACACATTTCATAGTTTGTGACAAAAAATGTCAAATCTTTATAAATAATATATCAAAGAGTTCAGCCTAGACCTGCTCTTTTTGTGAAGAGAGAATTTCTAAATTTATATGCTCACATTTCTGTCCAAATGGATTACAAAAAACATTTTTAAACACTTGAATTTAAAATATCCATCATGCTCTTGAAAAATCTTTGAAAATCAATAATAAAGAAACCCTTTTATTATTATTAAAGAGGACATATTATGAAAAATCCACTTTCTCAGTGTTTTTGAACATATATTTTGGTAACCTGAGTGTCTACCGACCCACAAAATTTGAAATAAACCCATCCAGTCCTTTGTTTGTGGTCTGCATAAGTCTTACAACACAGAGAAAAATGCTCTGTTTCAAATTTGGATATCTCCATCCATGGACTCCACCTCTGCCATTTTTATTCTCGCTACAGAGGAGTGATGTCTACCAGGAAAACTCAGGGGGGTCATTACATTTAAAGAGACACACACACCAAAACGGAGCGTTCTGAGAGAGCTGGTTTACACAGGGTCACAAACCTCCTCTGGTGCTTGATTCATGTTATATTTTGACCAAAGCACAGCACAGATTTTTCATTTAGACCACAGGGGGCTGTTTGAAAAGGTGGAAAAGGGGGATAATATGTCCTCTTTAAATCCTGTCATAAGTGACTAAGCCTGTTGAATGAACCACGCTCTGCTCATAACTGAACTTCATGAATTAACTTGACAGAACATGTGCTGATCTTTAACAGAGGAAGGATTGACAGCTTGTTTAAACACCTCTTAGTGTTCGTGGCATTAAAATGAGAAACTGAGGTTTCCCAGCAAAGATTGATTTCAAAGGTTCCTAAAATGTAAAAGGAAGTTGATAGTAATGTTTCCATTAAGAGAGGGTCAAATCAAACATGGAGTCGACGCACGTTTTCACATGTTTATTCACAGTGTTGAGTAACAAGTTTCACAACCTCAACTATAACTGTATGACAGAATGTGGTATTCACTGAGGTGTGCGTGTGCATGTGTGTGTGTAAGTAACTTCTTTCCAGGAACAGGCAGGTGTCTCTCCTGAAGTGTGTTTCATTTTTATGATATTAACCTTATAATGATCAGCACTCTCAGGCATCTTCGGGGGCGGAGGTTTCTATAGGATGATTATGAGTGTGGGCTCCCTGCTCTTAGACGGAGCGTGTGACTTGGAACTTGCAGAACTTGCAAACAGGTGCATCGTCTGCACTGTTATTATCTCCTCCTACCTTCTTGTGCTCATCCTTGACTCTGTAGACACTGTGTTTGTAGACCCATCCGCCTTGTCAATCTCAGTGTTGGATGAGGTTGTAATAGAAAAAGATGTTGTTATCCTCGTCCTCCAGCTTGTGAGAAATGTTGGCATTGAGTGGTATAGGGATCAAAGCTTATTGGAGCCATTACCCTAGAAGCTGCTGGCCTGATAGCTGGGATGAAATGCTGCAATGGAATTCATCAAATCTGAATAGATGCAAACACAAACTCACAATCATTCTCCACATTGATTCATATCTGTGATCCGGCTTTGTATTCGCAGCTAACGGTGGGCTCTTTGACATTAACATTAGCTAATGTCTGAGAGGCCTATAGTTGCTTTGAAGTTCCTTTCAATTCCTTTAATAGTGACGGGCAATAAAATATGCTTATCTAGTGCCAAGTAGCTGTTACTATGGCAAAACATTAGTTTACTATAGTAACACATGCTATAATACTGGGGATTTGAAAGCATACATTACAGCTACAGTTTCAAAATGTAACACATAAGCTTGTGTATAGACCCTGGTTTATTCTTGTTAGAGTTTAAATCATCCCTTTAATGCTTCCTGCCAAAATAAGAGCTTACCAAAAAAGGGTTTGAACCATAGGGTTTGAACATGAAACATAAAACTCAAAAATCTACTACCAATATTGACTAGCTTCTTACTGGTTTTCCATATTTAATTATCACACACACACAACTTAACACATGTAATGTACTGCTAGCATAATCTAGCAATGCTAGCAATAGTAGTTATAAATAGTTCAAACAAACGGAGACTCTTCCTGCCAAATGTAAAGCTTTTCCTTAATACTATTAATAGATAACCTGAATAAAAAACAGTTATGGTCTTGCCTACCTGATGTCTTCATTTGCCTCATCACGCTGACGTAGTGCCTCACGTGCGCGCAGCTGCAGCAGGAAAGAGGGCATTGCGCTGGACTTTGTCACATATTTCTCAACCTGGTTTTCTTATTTAACTAAATAGCCTGTTGGCTATTTGCTTGGCGGGCCAGACTGAGTAGCTACAAAAAAAAGGAAATTGTGTAATGTGTAAGACAATGTTATAGTGTTTGTAAATGAGGGAGGGAAAAGTCTAACACCTGACAATTGTTCTCACTCCTTACAAAGTAGATTAAAGGTATCCAAGACTCATAAATGTCAGCAAGGACTCACCTTGAATGCTATCTGTGATCCAAGTGAGAGAAACCTCCTCACTTCTCTGTCTGCTTTCAGATTCAGTTCAATGTGCTCTCTGCTTGTATTGTTGGAACGATTTCATAGATTTACGTTGAGAACTTCCTCTTCCATGATGAACTGACTCGCCCTTTCTTTACCTCGATGTTCTGGTAACTCTTGAATACAAGCAGCAGAGAGGTGTTTTGCAGGTGGTTGATGTGTTGTGTTTCAGTGCTCTAGGTTGAAAGTCAAATAAAGGATCGGTATCCATACCAAAGGTTCATGCATATTTTATTCAAGAGTAAAAAAGTGGATCGTCGCATGGGGGCATGCTTACAGTGTTAGTGACTGGGGAGTCAAAACAGAGAGAGAGAAAGAGAGAATGAGAAAAAAGAGAAAGAAAGTAAGAAACCGTGGCACAATGTCTATGGCACAGGGTCTCCCAGGGGGGTTCACCTCTCCCAAAGATGCACAACAAGATCAACCAAAGAGCAAAATAACATGAAGAGCAACCAGCAGAGAGAGAGAGAGAGAGAGAGAGAGAGCTTAAATATTAAGAATAATGTCCATAATAAATAGAATCATAATAACCATAGAATCATAAATATCATCAAAAGAACGAGAGGAATCATCAAGAATTATGATCAGAGAGAGAGTACACTTGTTTCCTTTAAATTGTGACGGCAACACACCAGCTCTTCTGTTAAAATGTGTCTCGCTGCTTTTTTTGCTTTGAACAGCGCAAATTCTAACCATGCAATCATGCTTTTGGCTGCCTGAACGCCTGTGCCTCTGTATATAGTATGGTCATTCATCAATGCTAGTTTCATTATTGTTTAGCATTGTTCATATTTATCGTTAAAAACAACTTCTGTACATCGACAAATAAGAGAGAGAAGAGAGAGAGAGAGAGAGAGAGAGAGAGAAGAGCGAATGTGGACTGGGCACTCTGATTTGAAGAGTACTGTCATTCTGTACAGCAAGAAACAAAGGTTGTGAAAAAAAATATAAGACAAAATTAATTTAAAAAAAAGAAATAAATTAATGTTATGTACAAAATAAATAATTAATTATTCCTCAGTTAATTGATATAAGCCAGAAAAACAAAAAAAGAACAAAAATGTCCTACCATAGTGAAACACAGAGCACAAATATAATCTTCACATTATTATCAAAGAACTTAACTCTGCATGCACTGATGCGATAATATAAATGCTTTACAAAGACCTTCTCTTCCTCCTCGTCCCTGCTGCCATGACAGATGCCTTAACCAGAAGAGCTCGTTTCCTCTCTGATATCATTTCCTTCATTTTTAGGCCAGAGATCCTTGGCCGTCTCTGCTGTACGGTAGCGGCAGCCACACAGGAAGAAAGAAGGACGTAGAAAGAGATTGAATAGAGTATGACTTCACATTTCAACTCGCCCCAGCTCCCTCCCATACATTAAGCATCCTACTTTTCATATACTGCATCTTGCATCATGTGACCATAAGCCTCAGATGTGCAATAAAACCTCTCTATTTTACCTATGTACACACTCAGGCTGGGAGAAACACTTCAAATCAGATCTTGGCCCAGTTTCAAGCTTTTCCCCCCGAAGCTAACCGCCCTGGAGCCAGAGGTTTGTTGGGGGGAATCCTTCACCTGACCTCAAGTGGAGGATGGGTATACAGTGTAGTGCTACAAAAGCAAACAAGTATCTTCTGCTAAGAAGAAGGGGGCAGCGAGGGCTCAGATTAGACAGCAGCTGAGATTATCCCCACATCTCCCTTGGCAACAGATAAACCACCATGCCACAGCATACATCAAAAGTTCTCTTGCTGTTGCCCGGCCGATGGCGAGCTCCGCTTGTGTTTGCAAACAAAAACACATTTTCCAATATAACTGCATGGACATTTACATCTTGAAGCATGTGCACGCACACAGGCAGGTATATCCACAACCCTATAAAATCAACCAATCACAAATTTAGTTTCACTTCCTGTTTTGGGATGCAAACAGTAAAAAGAGGCATACATAATACTAAAGTCCAAATCATTATCACCAAATCCACCCCACCCACTTGCAAACACATGACCCCGTCCGGCACGACACACCACCAAAACAGCCACGTCATGCTGATACTGTCAACCCACTGGTGATTCCCAACACAGGTGGTGAACAGCACGAACATGGGAAGGGTTTTTGTTGCTTCCTTCCTGTTTGCTGTGCAGGAACATTGGAGTTGTGGTTCTTTAAATACGGCTTATCAGTTCAGTGAAGAGAGTCAGCCTTTGGTGGGAAAGTCCAGGTACGCTCATGCCTTTACAGAAAGCTGAGGGCAACGGGAGAGGGATAGTTAACTGTGTGTGTGTGTGTGTGTGTGTGTGTGTGTGTGTGTGTGTGTGTGTGTAATTGAATGTGTGTCTTTGTGATGCTGTCTCCAGCCTCAGTGTATGAAATACTGTTTGTGTGTGTGTTCATGTGTGATCCATTTTCATCGGGTATATATGCTTATGTACAGGAACCTATAAATATGGTACCATATCAGAGTTTTAACTGCAGGTATGTGTCTGGGCATCATGGGGGTGCATGTCCATCACTGTATATTGCTGTTGCTGTCGGTCCCATTTGGCTCTCCCATGTTCATGCGACCCATAGACAGGCCCACGCTGTTGACGGCGTCGCGTCGCGGAGGCATCCTCTCGTTGATCCGATCCAGACCTTTGGCCTCTTCGAAGCTGCTGATCCGATGCTGCGGGGAGAAGCCTCTGATGGCTGCAGAGACAGGCAGGCACATCCCACACACACACATGTGCACACACAGACATACACAAACATTCATACATACATGCCCACAGCGTTAATATTTAAGAAGACGTTAAGTAGACTCTTGTGCATACAGACCCCTGTGACACTTGAAGGAAATAATCAGGGTGCCATAGGTGAATGGATCTCTTAAACCTTTTTATTCATTTAAGAAATGAGGAAGGTTACGCGTTACCAAAGCAATTTGACAGGTTTAGTTTGACGCTCAAATGCTTCCATTTGGCTACACCAATGAGGATATTTCAATGCTTTTGACCCTGATTGTTCATCCCTTACAAGAAGGCTGTGCTGGGTTTGTATTTACAAGGTTCTCTCAAATTATGCACATATAATCTATCCAAACACATCAACTACTGTTCATCTGTTGTCTGCATACTGGTCTAGGATTATTTTGTCGCCTTGGCTCACATTAAAAGCTGCAGCCAGTGACATAGTCACTGATCCTAGATCAGTAATCTGAGACAACAGGTACATTAGACTAGGACATTATAGGACACAGAGTATGAAACAAAGCACAACTACACAGAAGCAAACGAACACAAGTTCTAAAAACGAGTTTTTGACAGTTTGTTTGTCACTATTGTTCCTGGAAGTTGCCAATTCCCCACAAAATGTTTTTACCTACAACCGATAGGATGAGGACAAAATTCAGTAGTCATTTTTTCCATTTCGCAGTTCACTTTTATGACTTAAAATGTCCAAGCTGGTCATGTTTTAAGTTAAACAAATGTTTCCTTTTTGTGATAATAAACTTGACTGAACTTTATCTTTGTCAGTGTACACAGTTATTTACATGCTGGAGCACAACACATGTCTCAAATACTCCAATGATATAAAACATGAAGGTTACTTCACTAGTCCCGGCTTGGTGATAAAAGAAGGGTTATCTGAGTTTGAGCTTTAAAATGTTTAAAAGAATAGTTCAGTATTTTGGAAGATAGGCATACATTTTTTGGAGTCATCCATTAACGGAAATAAATAATCCAGGATCTTTGGGAGCTTGATCCAGGCCAGGCATTAAAAACAGGATATGTCCAGTGTCATCAATGCAGTTACAGCCAGGTCCTTTAATAAATGGAAGAGGGTTGATACATGTGCATGGTGCCTCTTTGAAGGGAAAATACTGATAAAAAACAATGGATACCACCAAACGGTTGATTGTAGTTTTAATTAATTTGACTAAACTAAGGAACACCTTTCCAACATGAAGCTTTGAGACGGGCTGTGATGCAGCCTCTGCATGGACAGATGCTCCTGAGTCTGATGACGAGGTCTGTCTGCAGAGAAAGCTTTGACTTTTGAACAACAGCTACTGTCGTATTACTTGTACACACATAGCTACTCACAAATACGCCAATGCGCTACACAGTGGAGTCAAACCCAGTAACAGATAAACGAAACACACGATACCCATAATTTATTTGCTTAAACAAATTATGGACTGCAGTTCAGATAATCGGAGGAAAGCGCTTAAGGTACGAACACAAAAAAGACTACATCTTACAGAGTAATAACTAACCAGTGTACAGAGAATATGATATACTAAACATAAAACAACATGACCTCAATCTGTTCACAAGCACAGAAGAACCTGGAATCCTCGCCCTGGCTTTGGTCAGTCAATCAGACATGACTTGAAATATCAAATAATAAAAGAGCTTCAAATTAGAAAAGCATCCTAAACTTTAGTAACACATATTAGTGTGAAAATATTACAAACTCAAGGTAACCTTGCTTCTTATATATAATTATAAAATGTCATATCCAGGTCAAGAAAAGGCTCAAGAGTCATTAAAAGACTCGGAGTAAGCAGAGGACTGAGATCACATCCCCTGGCTGACGTTCAGAGGTGTCCTGGCCATTTAATGAAGAAGGCCTCATGCATTTTTAAGGCTGTAGGTAAATGTAGTTTTCCTGCATGAATTAGACTTTTTTTTTTTCAACACAGGTGACTCCTGTTCTGCTGTAGCTTGTGGAGGAACAGATTGATTACATGTTCATCTTCTTGAAAACTACAGCAAAGACTGTATGAAAAACGAAGAAAGACTGTAACTCACTGCAGACTAGAACAAGTCTGAGTGACCCTGCCAACCTTCACACCCACTCCCACCCACACCACAGCCCAGCTCTTCTTCTAATGTGTGTGTGTGTGTGTGTGTGTGTGTGTGTGTATGTGAGAGTGTGTGTTCATGTATGAAGGGATGGTGTTATATTTTTTTGTTTCCCCAAGAGAAAGAAACAGAAAGGTGTGTGCATGTTGTAATGTGGTGGTTGCAGCAGCGTGCATTAGTCTTAGGATTCGTTGTTATCATGGGTAAAAAAAATCTATGACTTTATGAGCATGGGTGGCTGAGAGTGCAGCCATGCCAAACACACACCAACGCACATACACTCACACACACACACACACACACACACACACACACACACACACATTCAGTGAAATGATTGTGATTTTACCTTCAGCGTCCTTAACTGTCTCGATGGCTTCAATGGCCTCAATGGTAGCTGAAGGATGGGCAAAGAGAAGTGAAGAAGAGAGAGAACGCAGGACAGGAAGAGAGAGAAGAGGACGGACTCCAGAAGAGGAGTGAAGTACAAAGAGAGGAGGAGATTAAGAAGAAAGCAGTGAAGGCTGAAACATGCTCTTGTGCAGTTGCTTGTCTGGGCTTATGGGTGACCACACACAGAAAGGAGACTGGTCCCAGAAAAATAAAGCCAATATTTGGCCTGATACAAATCCCAACAAAAAAACAAAAACAATTTAGCCTCCAAGCAGATCAGAAATGAATGTGCAGTGAAAGTATCAAAAGGGTGATAATGGTAGCTCACAGGCTTTGATGCATGTAAACCTGAAACACCGAGATTCAAGTCCAGCTCCAGTTGAACCCGTCTTTGTCCCCCAACATTCTCTCTCAAGTTAACTCTTTGAAAATGTCCTTATTTTACATAATTTATAAAAGAAAATACATTAAAACATTAAGATTAACCTGTGAGTGGTAACGTGGGACGCTACACTTAGAGGCATGTTTCAGGCTTAAGTTATGTGATGGCCCTCAGAGCAGCACTGTGGGGCCATGGCAGGTTCGCAGGGCACCTAGCGGAAGCAGTAGCATTAGTTCACACACACTTTGTGTGTTCTCTTACAACGCCCTTTAGTTTCTTTGTCTCTCTTTACCTCTCGTTCACTCTCTCTCTCTCTCTCTCTCACATGCACACGCACGCACGCACGCACGCACGCACGCACGCACACACACACACACACACACACACACACGCACACACACATAAAACCAGCAGGCTGTTAGTATCCTCAGCACCTTTGAGGTGAGGTGGTTCAGTGAGGTAGAGGGATGACAAGAGAACAACAATAGAGGAGAGAAGGAAAGAGGGCAGAGAGGAACCAGAGGATGTTCCGCATGTACTTGTGTTTTTTTATTTCTGTATTTGAATGTGTGTCCAGGATTAGGTTTAAGAGTATATATCTGTGTGTGAGTGAAACACTCACCGCTCTGCAAGGTCTGTTTACCCCCAGACAGCACTCCACTTGGCAGCATTCCTGTTGGGGTCAGTCCCTTAAGGGTCAACACATTCTCACTCTCCTCCCTGAGGGACAAACAGAGCAGGTGATAAAACGAGAAATACACATGTTACCTGACTGTACACCTGTAAACACACACATGCTTGTTGTTTTAATAATGATGCTTAAATGCTGATAAAAATAAAAAATATTACATGCTTGCTTTATTATAGATTTATTTTGGGGCATTTTGTGCTTTCACTGTAGAGACAGGTCAGTGTCAGTGAATAGAGTCGAAAACCAGGGAAAGGAGCCACAGGTCAGACTCAAACCCAGGCTGCCCGCTTGGAGCACTATTCAGTCTGGCATTATTATTAGGTATTCTACAAACTAGTGTTGAAGTCATTAGGTGATTTAAAAGTAGTTGCAATTCTTAATGAATGTATGTTTCATAAAGAATTGCAACTTAAACTATCAGTTGCAAAAAAAGATATCTTTATTTATTTGCGTCCATTGAATTGAGGGTGCAGACATTTGAAATGAGGGTGCAATGCCACCTTTTGCACCCTTGTAGATCCGGGCCTGTGCAGAGATACAACAGCATAGACAGGAAGATGAGTAATGCTCCTGAAACGATAACATATCAAATATGCTGCTATATGTCAAAGTGGTGGACTGGCAGTCTGGTCTTGGTCTTGACTCTGTCTCAATCAGTCGAAGGTCTTGACTACGAAACTACTGCATACAAAGAAACTGTCTGTACAACCAGAACTCAACCCACCGTAACACAGAGAACATTTTAGCCATCTTTCCAATGGCTCGAATCTTGTTCTTGATCACCTCTTTCCTCGCTGCTGCTGCGCTGGCTGTAAACGAGCCAAACACAAACTATGAGAATTCTTCTGTTGTGATCTTTGAAAAAAATAGTTTCTGTTTATGTTCACAAAAAGTGACACACATTCAAATCAGATCAGTGTTTTTTATTTTTTTTTATTTACCGTCGTAGATCTCCTCTCCATCGTTCATGAGTTCATCGTCAGAGCAGATACTGAGGACGTTGACCAGCATCTCAGTCACTGCAGGAGAAAACACACACACACACACACACACACACACACACACACTTGAATTTGTTTTGTTTTGTTGTTTACCAGGAAGTCCCTATCTTTAACAAAAGACACCTGGCCAAGGTAAAACTTTACTAAATACAAATCCTGGTACAAAAACATGTTTTCACAGGGAGTGAAGATTGTTGCTGTGCAGAATTAAACACTTGTGCAGTGAATACATAGATTCAGTAATAAACATACTTGGCTGTGTCAGCAATTATTTCATTATATTGTTTAAATAAATATAAAGTTTAATTATGTAGTGTCAGAGAAACAGATTCAGCCGGTACAGACGTGATAGTAGATCTAGAGTTCAAGACTGTTACATTTGTCCCTCATCACTGGAAGTTGCAGTTCTACTTTATATTAGATGTGTACCTTATGTGAACTTATGTACAGCTAACTTTAAATCTTTTTTTGACTCATCTGCTACCTAACACAAAACCAGAGTTTATGACGAGCATTATCTCGAGTCCGAGAGCTAGTAAGAGAACTCCTTTAATTTTAAAAACTGAAGGTAAACTGTCCATATAATGTTGATTTTAACATACTGTCGGCAGAAATGTATTAAAAAAATAAAGGTGAGTGTATTTCGTACCCTTTTCTCCCACAAAAGGCAACGACCATGTGAAGACATCCATGAAGTTAGGCAGCCAATAGGGATGAGGAGAGCAGTTGAACTGGCGGATGTTCATCACATTGTTCTCATACTTAAGCACAGCCGCTGAACACACACACACACAAACACACACAAAAACACACACACACACACATTATTTATTCAACTTTTTTGACCATATATTTGATATAACTTGTGTGTTATGCTATTGATGCATTTTTGCAAACCTTTGTTGTTGTAGACATCCAGGTAGTTTGGAGCAGAGAAGATTGTGATGAGCGAGGGAAACCCTGTAGTCTGACTCTTCCTGTACATACGATACCTGAGGACAGACAAAACGCCCCGGTTACAGATTCTCAAAATAAGCAAAATAAATGAATAAAACATATCGTGAATAAGAAAATGAAGGTGTGCAACAGAGGTCTTGAACTCAGACATGCTTTTAAAAGCCAAATAAGGGATGAATGTGTGTGGGAAGAATCAAATGGAAATGCAAGGATGCCACTAAGCTAGGAAGTGAAAGCACTGTGTTGCAGTAAAGCATCCAGAAATGTTTTAATGATTTTAAAACCTGGATTTAGTGAGTGACTCAGTCACAATCATCAAATAATATAGATTCAAAGAACCACCTGAAATATGACTTCAATTAACAAAAGCAAAAGCATACATGTTGTATGTGTTGTCATGAACAAAGCACAACATCAGCCTTAACTAGCCCAGTGTATCTTCTTAAACATAACACCTCATCAGTGATAAAGAGTTTTGCTTTTTAATTAAAAAAACTCATGTAATGTACGTGTCTGCACTAATTTCGCATCGGCTCTCGTATATTTCAAGTACAATTGGTCTGAAAGTGCAAACAGACTCGATGGTCCATATAAAGATCTGAATAAACAGACCAAAACTGATTAGCATTGCCTCCATCTTGACATATATACATGGAGACTGACATTGTTGGGAATGTTTATTGATGTAATCGATTTATTGACTTAGAGCAATACAACAACTAATGCACTGAAGAGATGAAATTTTAATGTAGCAAAGAAAAAATGTGCATTAGAGGAAATAGCATAAGTCAAATTCCTTGTATGTGTAAATGTACTTTAAACAATTCTGATTCAGATTTTTCTAATGAAATGTGTAAGTACATTTGCACACAAGGGCATTTTTGTTCACTCCCATGGAATTTTTCTTACTTATTTGTCTTTCTTGCAATTTGTCCATGTCTGTTCATGGTTTGTACCCTGTTCCTGTACCACCAAGTTAACTGTTACAACAACCACAATTTGTTTTGTACCCTTTTTTTATTTTTAAGGTTTAATTTTTGGGCTTGTAATGCATTAAAAGATAGATGTGACAGTGGATAGAGTCAGAAATCAGGGAGAGAGAGAGAGTGGGGAATGACATGTGGGAAAGGATCATGCGCACTAACCACTATGAGCACCCTGTTTTATAACTTTTTATTCTCAGATGTAATCCGGCATCCCTTTCTCTTGTGCAACGCATTGTTGGACAACACATTTTCAATTCTTGTGACTTGATTATGTCATTGTTTCTTTTGTTATTGTCTGAACACAATACATCCTTCTTAACCTGCTCAGACCTTATTCACTGTTGTTGAATGTGCAATGTCCTAAAATGTTTTTACTTCTATCTGTTTATTCGGTTCAATTCACAAAAAATAAAAGCTACTAAAATAGTTATTTCTTTTGAGCAGCCCTTGTGCACTTGGGCTGCTCAACAAAGGTACATGGGTCATGACACAGACGACTCGTAGCTGTATGGTGGGCAAAACACTGAGATTGTTTTCACCCAGCTGATCAAACAGGAGCAGCAACAGGAGGGATGCCTTAATGACTGCATTATGTTAGGAGTATTTCACTATGGATAACAGATGCCAGCAATGGATTTGTGAGTCAGACAATTGTGGCTTGTTCCTACTATCAGATTTAGACTACTATTGTATGGCTCTTTGCCTTGGCAATCTGTTTTGGGAGATGAGGTAGTTAAGCTGAATTTTCTTCGAGCCTTCTGTTCTCTCCGTGAGTCTCATTCACTCATAAATGTGTAGACATGTTCTTATTCTGCGCCTAAAATAAGTGCATACGCAAAATTACACTCAGATTTCTGACATGTACGCACCGGCCAATTTTGCTCCCACCACCTTTTATCTGTTAGTGAATCAGGACCGCATCCTGCAATCAGTATACTACCACACCCCATCTCATCAGGACATCCGATTGGTGTATCAGGATTAGAGCGGTGAGGTGGAGACAAGTAGAAGTTGCAATCATTTATGTAGCCTGTATGCCCTTAAATAGACGGTAATTAATCATTTGGTTTTGACAATATATGCTCGTTTTCATGGCACTATGGGTGGGAGGGGACGACGATTTAAGGTTCAAACTGTTACATTTTAATGTGTACATTGTCATATGTCGATTTTAAACTAAGTCTTAAATTTAAGATGAAACATTTTCAGTAAAATAAGGATGAAAAAGCGACAATTACATGGTTATTTAATACACTAGTAAATTAGTTGTAATTCCTTTTCTCCATTAAATGTTTTTTTTTTGCTGAAAGTAATTTTAAGATGTTGTGCATGAAGTTAAAAGGGTGTCTGTTTACATTTTCTGAGAAAGCTCAAATCATTTGTGCGTACTCTGAGGAAGTGCTAACTTTGTTCGCAGAGTAAGAACAAATTCAAGTAAGAACATATTGATAAATCCAGATTTGTGTGTTGTGTAACCCCTTTAATTTGCTAATTCCCTGACAAAGACAAATAAGAGCTCAGACCATGAAATGTCAAGGTAAAGCATTTCATTAAATGGTGCTCTCGTTTAGTTGAGAGACACACTGAGCAGTCAGCTTACCCAGCATCCTGTGCTTCGTGCGCTCTGATGACTGACAGCAGGTTGTTGGTCTGTAGGAACTCGCACACTGCTGGGTAACTGGAGAAGGAAAGCCAAGAAAGAGTGAGAGCTATTAGTATATCTTAGGCTTGTCAATGAAAAAAAACATCTAGGTAAGAGACATTAAAAAGAAACAGTAAACACCACTTTTAATAGAAAACTACATTACATCAAGACTTGCCAACCAAAAAACCAATGGAAGCAGTTAGTATGATGTCTAGCAGTGGGAGATGAGGCCTCTAATGCCATGCCTGACTCCAACCAGCAGGGGGCATCAGTGAACACAACGCAGACATGAGCCAGACCTACTGGACTGTACGTCCTCCTCAGCACACAGTAGTCGGTCATTGATGCTGTGTCTGCTACAAAGAAAACCCCTCTGTTTGCCATAGACGACAGGCCATAACAACTCCTCTGTGTGAACAGCTCAGCCGAGCCTGTGCAGAAGCCCCCCTCTGCTTTGAAACACCAGCTACTTGTCCTAAAATTTCTCCAGTTTTACTACATTATTTCCATCTTTCATCTCCCACCACTCAATCAAAGCTATTGCCACCCTCCTCCCATGTTGCTCTCCCTCTTTCTCTCACTGTATCTTAATATCACTCCATATCTGGCAGGAGTAGCCAGTCGTCATGGCAACAGAACTGTGCAGTCTCCCTGGGGATTGTGGGATATCGTTTCATGCTGAAACAGAACTCTGTGTATGTGTTTGTGAATGTGCCTTGTTTATGTGTTTCCTAGTACACTGAATAAGTGTGGATGTGAATGTGTGTGTGCGTGTGCATGTGTGCGTGTGTGTGTGTGTGTGTGTGTACACTTCCCACTAGCTCTTGAACAAATCCCAATGATTGTAACTGGATCCTGAATGTAGTATAAAGAATCTCTTCTGCTTACTCCTCTCCCCCAGCATCCCAGTCCAATAGCCTGAAGTCCACCTAACATTCATTTCATTCTTGTATCTCTGTAACACCAGGTGATCAAAGGAGCCCAGATCAAATCACACAAGCCCACAACACAACACTGACAGGACTAGATAGAGGTCGGCCCTATTTATAACCTTATATTTGTCAACTGCCAATTTTGAAGAATATTGTTCCTACTGCATCATTGAACTCTGATAAATAACTTAATTGCTTTTTTGCACATCAGTTAAGGTCATATCTCTGAGCATCATAAGCAGAGTAATATACACATGTCACCATCTTCACTCACATACACCTTGATTTTCAAAATAAAATATCAGCTTATGTGATATTTATTTTTGCTCAGTCAGCAGCTCAAACCCGGCGAGTGGTAATCCCCCCCTCTACCTGTAGAAATAGGAGCAGCCTCTGACTGTGTTATGGCCAAAGTACTCCTGGGTCTTCTCATTGCCAAAGTCTTCCAGGGGGTCAGCCCACAGCAGGTCACACATGGGCCCAAACGCTGGGGGCTCCTTAAACCGGTCCAACTAGGACAGACAATGAAAAGAGACACACACACAAAAACACAACATAATATAAGATTACCCAAACAGTCTCATATAGTTATTTATACTAAGAACCCCAAAACATCCCAAAACATGAGACACACAACATTTTAAAAGTCATTATGCACCATACACAAAATAATATAATGTTTAGCACACACTGGATAAATAATACAAAAGCATAATGTAACACACACACACACACACACACACACACACACACACACACACACACACACACACACACACACACACACACACTCTGTCAGATCAGAGCATCTCCATGGCAACCCTTACCACACAGGAGGGAGAAGATGTCACACCAGCAGATTCACCATGGAAACAGTGCCATTAGATGAGGAAGTGTGTGTATCCTCATGTCTTGTGTTCATGAGTGTTCCTTTGTATTCTGTTTTATTGTGAACTGTATACATGGGTAATGTGTGTGGATCTCTATTACTGGTATTCTGCATTCACTGGTTTATTGTGGATTCTCTTTATTTCCAGAACATGAGGGTGTTAAACAATAATTATGTGTAAGGTGTTTGGTATTTTCAGTGCTGAGAAGAGGTGTGTTAACATGTTGGGTTAACCTTATATTTTTTACATTAAGAATATACCTGTGATAAATGTTGTATATGTCATGAGTTTCTGGTTTAGTTTTGTCTGGTTGTTTATTTCAGTGTTTAGATTTCATTTCCTGTTTTATTTTGACATCCATCCTGGTATTCTTGTATTTTTTGTTCCCTTGTGTTGCTTTCATCCCTCTGTGTGTCTCACTGTTCATATTCCTAGGTTAAGCTGTTTTATTTTGTCACCTTTACACTTGTGTTTCTCTGTTTCCTGTTCATAAACCTGAGTTTAGTTTTCAGTGTTTCCACATCATGTTAAATCTAGCTAGTTATGTTGTTTCCTTAAGGTGAGCTGGGCCTTTTTGGCTGATGTGGCTGAATTCACTCCTGCACTATTTTGTTAAGTAAAATATCAAATAAATTCTGATTGGTTCCTTGAACTGGATAATCTTTATTTTACTGTTCAGTAAAGTAATTTGTTGTCACTTTGAAGCTAATGGAGGAAAAACAATCAAACTAGCACAGCTCTCTTTTTTAAGCTCTTTAATGAACAGTGCTCAAAAGGCGAGCAGGAGGCAATATATTGCCAGAAGGTGGTGACTGCATGAGATTCCTAAAAAGAACTGAATGTGACCTGATGGTTGTGGCTTTGCAAGACTTAAGAGCGCACACTTTGGCTAGCTCCATGACTGTCACTGCAAAGCTTTTCTCATCAACCACATATTTTCCAGGGAGCTCCTGAGTTCTTGTCTCGTAGGTTCCTTTGGATCAACATGTTTGTCCCTATCCTTCTTCCTGCATCTTTACTTTATCCCATTCTTCGAGCCTGACACAGTCTGCTTTTGCCCAAGATTTCTGTCTCTTAAAAGGAACTTTTTTCTTGCCACTGTAATATTTGCTAAATGTTGCTAATTACTCATGATGGTGTCAGTGAGTAAGGTCTTTTACCTGCTCTTTTGAAAAGTGTCTTTAGATAACATTTGTTATGAATTGGCGCTTTACAAATAAAGCTCAATTGATTGATTGCTTTTTTTCACTGTTTAACCAAAAACTAACTTTCGATAAGACATACTATGTATTTCTTGTGCGTGCGTGTGTGTGTGTGTGTGTGTGTGTGTGTGTGTGTGTGTGTGTGTGTGTGTGTGTGTGTGTGTGTGTGTGTGTGTGCGCGTGTGTGTGTGCCTCTTATTGTACCTTCTTTATGTCGTCCAGTGTGTGTATCTCCGGTGAGAGCCCCCCATGCACACACAGGAACTGCTGGTTCATCAGGGCTGCCAGGGGTAAGCAATCAAACGCCTCCATGCAGGAATCATACACCTGCTCTGAGTACTTAATCTTACCTGGAGATGGATGGTAGGAGGGAAGAGATATTTCAATTAGACAAACCCACTGTGACATGAGGGCAGGAAACAAACAAACATGATACTTTGACATTGATTTGAACTATTCAGTCACCTCAAGTGTTCTACAGTTCTTCTAATAACACATTTGTTTCACCTGGGTGTGAAGTAATATGTAGGCTTTTTACATGTTATTAATTTATGCATCCATCTCTGCAGCATTCCCATATGACCTGTTTCTTTCCTCTGATGTTTTTAAAATGCTAATTCCCAGAGAAGAACAGAACATTGGTAAACGAATGTCCTATATTACACGACAAAGCATCTTACTACAGTCAACATATGCAGAACAAAACCTGGCCCACATAAAACCAGGAAGCAGAATAGAGGCTGCACTGTAGCATTAATCAATATAATTAATTTACATCTTATGGATTGTCTTATCTGGACCTTGGGTCTGTAATAAAGTTTTGATTGATTGAATTACTAAAATTGTTGCTTTATAAAAAAACATGTTTGGCAGCAGTATCAATAAAACATTCATAACACAGCATCTTTAAAGTACAGTTCACACATGGTGTTATAATACATCTGATACAAAACAATATCAGGGGATTAAAATAGCTGAGAACGGAGGAGAGAGATAGAGGAGTGAGAAGGATGAGAGAAGTACAGATTTTTATCGAGGGCAAGACAGAGGTAGGAGAGCAAAAGGAGAACTGGAGGTCTCATTTGAACAAATCTGACCCTTGACCCAAAATGATATTGACACCCCTGGTCTACACAGTTGGTTTGTAGGGGCTCATAGTGCCATGTGGTAAGGGGGCAGTATCGGCGTTGTTGCTACCTTGCTAGCTCGAATAAACTGAGCCTGGGTCTGTTCAACGTGGCAATGCTGCATGGGTTGCAGTGGCAATGAGACCAATGGTGGTTTTGTAACTTCTCAGTAAGGCATAATTGGGATGAGTGCTTATCCTTTTATCAGAGCAGAAGACGAATCATGTGTTTATTTTAAATAAATAGAAAAGAAGAGAGTTGGGTGGGAGTAGACAGGAGAAGAGGTTAAGAGAGGAGGAAGAGGGAGGAGGAAGAGGGAGGAGGAAGACGGATGAAGAGAAAAGGTGAAGTGTCAGGATATAAGACACAGCCACTTTTTAAAACCAGTATTATGAGCTACCAGTCACTGAGCATTTCTGTGTGGGTGACAGAAAAAAGTGAGTTTGCCAGCCTCTCCATCTGACTGGTGGAGAGCAAGAGCTCATTATTGACGGACACTTACACATTTATGAGGACAGTCTTGCACACGCAGTCATAGTACATGCACACACTTGTGGTACACACACAAATACACATCTCACACACAGCAGATGGTAATTGAGGGCGACCACTATTCACCAAAAGCACCAGGGGAAATTAGCTTTCTTGTCCCTTGGCCAATCAGACACAGAGGAGTAAGTCCCTGAGCCAATCATTTGAACCAAATGAAACTGGTGCTAATCACCCACTCTCGGACAGGACACGAGGAGAGTCAGGGAGTCAGGGAGAGGGGGGGGAGGAAATATGAAGAGGAAGACAGAGAGAGATAAATATATGGAGGGAGAAAGAGTGCAGGAGGGATGGTGGGAGTCTGGGAAGAGAGTACGGTACAACCAGGGTTAAAAGTAACAAACTACATTTACTCACATTAATATAACTGAGTAACTTTTTTGTGTACTTGTACTTCTTTGAGGAGTTTTTAAAATCCATAATTTTACTCTTTAAGTATACTTTTAATATTGTACTTTTATACATTTTAAATAGTTTCAAAAACTGGGTAAAAAAAACTGCAAAAAAGGCAAAAAGGAGATTGATACTCAGCAGTTGATGTGTAACTGTGAATAATGCGTACTGTTCATAAAATCAAAATGGATGGGTTATAAAAAATCATCCCCCGTACACTGTGTGTCCATGATAACAATAACTAATCAGACCAATATCATTTTTGGTACCAGGCTGTTTACATGTTAATTTCTGCTGTAAAAACAGCTTTTCTGAATGGGGTGTGTATGTGACTTCAGGCGGACACTCTGCGAACTGCAGGATTTCGCACTTCACATTAGCTTCATTTTTCAACACCAGAGGTTACCGCTTGGTTCCATCATGTTTTTTCTTAAAGGAATACTTCAATTCAATTCAATTCAATTTATTTTGTGTAGCGTCAACTCATAACAAGTGTTATCTCAAGACACTTTACAGAAAGCAGGTAAAATACCTTACTCTTTGTCTGTCGTTTCACCCGTTGAAACATGAATCTGTATTGACATATGTAGTAAAAATGTGAAATAAATTCTGAAGTTGGTGCCTTCTTGACCGAGAAATAGCAGAAAGTGTCTTTTAGGCTCATGTGGATGAAAGACACTAAATCCCAGAATGCACAGCACCACAGGCCACTCCCACTAAGGTCCTCTAGTTACAGATATTTACTTCAACACATAAGGCCGTTTCCTCAACTGATTCCGAGATTTCTTCCAGAGGAATTGGCTTCTCTGAAATTCCTGTCAGAAAACAGACTCTATGTCTGTGTCCCTAGTCAAACAGTGAGCGCACCAACACTACCAGTACGCCCCAGCTCAGCTGCCTCATAGCTATATTGCAGCTTGTAGAGATAGCCATGATCATCGATTTGAGCACAAGACCTTCAAAATCCCCTTCATCGACATCAATTTGAAGTTTAAAGGCTTTATATGTGATTTTTTGATCCAGCAGATGTCGCCCTTGAGCACCAGCATGAAACCAAAAGAACTCGCGCTGCATTGTTGTGTTAGCATGCTAATGCTAGCGATCTTTATTATGCTCGTATCTTCACACTGCATTTACCTGAGATGAGCGTGATCTAGAAACACAGTTAAGCAGTGAGTACAGCATGTTATTCTTCTTTTCTCTAGTCCCTCAATTAAACAACTTTTACACACGAGGGGAGGAGTCAGCCGGCCGTCCCGGCGATGTAAATAAACTGAAGATAGGACTCTAAAAACTCTGAAAACATCACAGACAGTGGGACTCGGGTGTTACACCCATTGTAGACAGTCATGACTCACAGAGTTATTTTCAGAGGATATACTTGATTTCTATTACATTTATATTACAAGTGTGAAAAATCACATATAAAGCCTTTAAACATAGTTTTATCATACTTTCGTTCTTCTCAACTGTCTCCACAGAGCCTGTTAGCATAGCTTCCTAGCAAGATGACGGACGTTGAGGTTCATTTCTGGGCGTGAGGTCCCACCCACTGATCTGTGATAGGTCTGTAGCTTCATGGGCGGGTTGAAAACATGAGGAACTAGCGATGTAGTTTCAACCCCTCTCACCAAAGCAGCAAAATTATGATTTTTGCGACATTGGAGGCTTCCTTTCAGACAAGAAATACAGAGCTTTCCCATCTCAGGGGAAAATAATGGCGGGATGCACGACCATTCAAAAATACTACCAGGTTTCTTATGATACAAAGCTTGATGCAAATGGGTGAAGTATCCCTTTAAGCATCTAACAACATTTCCAATCTTTGTTGCCACTGCCCCAACTTTTTAAAAACATGTTTGTCATGATTCTGTTTTGATTTGATTGTAGGTGCTTTCTCATTTCTCCTTCTCCTCCTCTCCACTCTCTTTCTCACGCAGGTGTGTGTGGCAGGGGGTGTGACTGGCTTCTCCCACAGCAGCAGACGGGGCACACCTGGCTCCACTCAGCTCATCAACCTGACAATAAAAGCCTGCTCTTCACTCCTCTGCTCTGCCAGGTAATTCTGTCTTGTACAGTAGAGCGCTGGATAGTCTCCCTCAGTGGGTTTTTAAAGTTACTAACCTAGTAACTCGGCTGCCTACTTTTGTAGCTCCATTTTGTTCCTACCTGTGCTTCTTCATTTGTCCAGCTCCTCTGGTACTCACAGCCTCTCTCCGAATACCTGTTCTTGATCGTATCGAGACTATCTCTCCACCCTGATACATTACATGTACGAGGCCGGAGAGATAGTCTCTTCACTCCAAGGTTACAATGTAACCCTATGATTTTTTTTTTTTCTCTGAGTTCTCATCCCCGAAAACTCATCCTCTCTTCTCCGAGGAGAAGCCAGCCATCTCCCCGCCTCCGCTGCCTGCTCTTTTTGTTTATCAAACATTTTACAGTGTCCCGACTTTTAGGAAATTTGAAATCAGGTAACCTACAATTCAGAGAACAACTACAGCACTTGATTTTCAGATAAAAGAGCCCTGCCTCTGTTTCTGACTCAGACAACTAGGACATATTTAGGGCTGCATTGCACTGCTAGTTACCATGTGCCAGATAAGCCAGACAGATATCAATCAAAATGTGATCAGCTACACCAACGCAGTCCTGTGAACGTGTCCAAATCAGCCAAATTAGGCTTTTTTTTGTTTCGGTTAGCGGAAGCTGCCAGTTTAACTGCTGGTAACCATCAAGGCCTGCCAGAGCAGACACTGCAGTTTTTGTACAAATACAAGAAGCTACAGTGGGCAACTTGACAGTCTGTGAGATGCTTCAAGCCTTGCAGCTGTTACGTGGAGTATTCACAGACGGGGTGTTTGCTTATCTGTTACTAAACAGCAAAGAAAGTCTGTGCTCCTAGCAGACAGCTGTTAAAAAAGGCAGGAGCCAACCTGATCACGGGAACCTTAAGACACAGATATAGACGCCAAACCAGGAAGCTGCATGTAGACAAGTTGTTCAGGTTTTCCAGATAAAGAAGAGATATGGGTTGCAGATGGCTTAGCGGTTTGGTTGGGCCTGCAGAGGCTATATTCCTCCAAGTGGGCTACTGTATGTTGAAGACCGACTTGTGGCTTCTTTCCTTCATGTCTTCCTCACTCTCTCTCCTCAATTTTCTACCATTCACTGTCACATCAAATAAAGGCTAAAAGCTCACAACAATACATTTTTAAAGTAGTATAACTGGGAATCAAAAAAAAAAAAAAAATCAGGTAGATTAAGTAAATTCCATTTTCAACCTCTTATACCAAAAATTAAGAATTGTACGTTTACATGGACTTGAGTATCCCGGTTCACATTCACAGTGAGAGGTTTCTTTGTTAGATAAAGCAGGAAAAGGTTTTTCATCAGAAAACTCTATTATTCATGTACAGGACAAGATCGGGAAAATTATAAGACCAGCTACTTTGTGCCCATAAACAAAATGTTACTTTTCAGAAATTTTAAGGTGTTTATGTGTTTATGAGTTTTGGGCTTGTGAAGTCACACTGTGCACAGGTTTCTCCTCCATCTGACATCATTGTGTGACGAGGTGTCGGCACCCGTCTGCCTTTTTTTGGCCAATTCGAGATGTTGAATCTGCATCGGTCGGCGTGAGAGGAATCTCTCTGATTGGCTGTTCGGAGGTTTTATTTATCTCCAGCTCTCGTCACAGGTTTGGGAAAGCCCCTTGAGCATGTCGCTGTAGTATCCATGCTTTCACCCATTAGAGCGATTTCTCCTTATTAGTCGCCTCCGCCTCTTCTTTTCTTTTTCCACTAGAAGACCAAGGGCTGACAACGCCAGTGACATTTTCAACTCAAAGACATTATACTCAATTAGAAGCACCTATAAAATGACAGCGATGTGAAAATGGCCTGCTGGCGGTATTCGGCTTCTTTTTGGTGTGTCAGGGCCTTTAGCGATCAACTTCCTTGTTTGAGGTTGCGTTCACATCTCCGACAGACTGTAATCGAGTTCACATGAATCGTGCCCCAGACCACCTCTTCCAGCGGACTTGGGCATGGTACCAAAGTACAGTACGTTTGTGTTCACACTGATCAAATGAACCGGACTTTGGGGTCCAGTGTACTCAGATCAGGGCCCAGATCTCTAATGTGAAACCATCATTGATCAATGAAACGCCATGCCATGTTTTACATGTTTGTAATCCATTCTGCTTTTTCAATAGGAAAATTATCATACCTTCGAAAAGTCACATCATGTTTTCACTGCTACCATGCCAATTCCAAGCAGTCAGATCTAAATTCACATTTAGCCATGTCTGCCGTGTCAGTCAGAGCAGAGCAGTAACACAGAGCACCAAGAACAGAGTTTGGTGGGTCTTATACTCTTACCACATGCTTGGTATGTATCTAAATGTTGGTAATTAGTTCCTCTGTTGCTTTCTTTTGTTCACTTACAAAGTCTCTGGCTGTGTCCATACATACCTTCATTCATACTGAATATGACGTCATATTGAGTCAGTAGTACATTCTGAAAGTAGCTACACACATTTGTATGTTGCTAAGCTAATGACATACTAACAGTCAGGTTAGTGGGCAGTATGCAGTAAAGACTTTGTTTTAATTAATAGAAATATGACAGAATATTCATTTTTAATATCCCAAGTCTTTTCAGTTGATGATCAATCAAGAAGCAATTAAATGATGGAAATATTTTGGATGCTTTCCCTTGTAGGATTTGCAAACATGGAACACGGCAGTAATATCGTTGGAGTCAGGACCACACTAACCCAGACCAAGACAAATCCGAGACCAGAGTGCTCCGAGACCGAGACAAAACAAACACATTTAGGGATCAAGACCGAGTCAAGACCAAGACCAAGGCAGGGCAAGACCGAGACAAGACCAAGGCCATAAATATAATTTTACAATAATCAACTTGTGTGCAGCGGGTGTGTCTCTCGACACCTTAACACATACGAGGTATTTTCCTTAATGACAGTAATGACTTTGAAAAATCGCCTTCCAAGCCAAGTCAAGTTTATTTATAGCACATTTCATACAACAGGCGTAGACTTAATGTGCTGTCAGTGGTGGTCTTGACTGTTCTTGATTTAAAATCCGGAGTCCACCCAGTCTGAGACCAAGACAAAATCAATTAAAAATGCTTTTGATTCCAAGACCTTCAAAAAGTCTGATTTCGAGTACTACAACACTAAGCAGTAATAACATTATAGCATTTGAGCTTTCTACCATGAGCATGATGTCAGACTAAAATGGCTGCCAATTCAACGTGGTTCATTTGGGGCCTCATGGGTCTCTGTTTAGAGCCAGCCACAAGTGGCCATTTGACACTTGAAGTTTGCAGCTTGGTTTTCAGCCAACTCATGGCAGCCAACATACAGCTCGTACAGCTAACATGGGGATCTCTTTTTTGTCAAAATGAACAGTCGTCCTCTACAGCAGATTTATTACAAGATATAACTTTAAACTACAGCCTACAAACTATTTGTCTGCTTGCTTCAGTTCTCACAGAAAGAGCTGATTTAGATGGGTAGGATGGTATGATGTTAAAGAGAGTATAGAACAAGATGGAGAAAAGTTACAGATGAAGGAGGAACTGACCAAAGGTAGAGTAAAAGAAGGATCAAAAATACATTTAGACAACAACACAAATTTACTCACATTCTTGTTTGAAGGTAAAATATTCCGTCAGATGTCTACATTCATGGTTTCCCCGTAGAAGAAAGAGTGTCTTTGGGTAGAGGATTTTCAGTGACCACAGGTACAACACACACTTCAGGTTCACAAGGGAAGAGAAAGAAAAACAGGAATAGAGGTGAGAAACTTTATAAGAAGAAGCATATGAAGAACATGAAGAATTTTGGTGACAATGTTATGCATTAGCAATCATTGCAGCTAATAGACATTTACTCTAGTGTACAGTACTGCTGTGGAAATACTGTATGTGTATTTTCTGATAGTGTTTGATTAGAGTAGTTTCACAATATACACAGGGAAGTCCAGGGATGCCACCATGGTAGGAGGATTTTTATTATTTTGGAGGGAACACATTCAGGCACAACTTGTCATGTAAGACTTTAGACTTTATTGTCCTCATGGGGAAATTCATTTTCACATCACCATTTCTGTCTAAAACAGACAGTTCCCACAAAAGAACATGCATACAAAAAACACAGAGTACAACACGGAGATATTTTGACATTTCCATTTCTGTATTTATTAAACAATGATAAATAATGTGCTGGTAATGATTTTTAATGGTGCTGGTGCTTACTAGTTTTCAGAGGCGTATCCAGAAGGGTGGTCAGGGGATGTGATTGGCCACCCCAGGTGCCACCCCTAAAAGCCTAAACTGTGATTGGCTATTTGCCCTGTCAAAGACTTGACTGAAACCAACTATTATTTTGCAAAGGATGCTAGAAGTTTTCTCTACATATCAATGAAGCATATTTTCTTATGTTTGTACTTTAAATTGAAAGTCAAAACGTGCACATTGATTTCATAAGACAGGTGTAAAGGAAAGTAATGCACTCTAGCTAACTTGCAATGAACTAACTGGCAATGTGTCGGGACAAAACATTGCAGGTTAGACTGTGCAGGAGTTAGCATGCTCTTTTTAAAGTAAAGTTGTGACGTTGACCATAAGTCTTCTTTTTGTGTCGTTAAAATATTAAGCTAATATTGTCATTATCTCTTGTTCTAAAGTAGAAATGATTGGTGAGGGTAAATAATTGATATTTATTTGTGTGAGTTTGTGTACACATCACACTTCAGGCCATCCCTGCATAAGTCAGTGCCCCAGTTGGTCCGCTGCAGTCCAAAAAGTCTGGACACGCCCCTGCTAGTTTTATATTTCGGGGTTAAGCTAGGCTAGTTGTACACCCTAGTATTTATACTGATCCTTCAAATTCCTGTCTCCAATGTTCCTAAGTGAGTTTTCCTCATCTTACTCTTGTCAAGAAAGGGAAAGAATGTATTTCCCAACACCCTATTATGCCATTTGCGATAGTGTTACAAATTAGGCAGTGTTGATAGTTTATAATCACGTGAGGCAGAGCTTCACTTGAAGTCATTTCACTTCCAATTAACCCAATTCAAACTGAAAAGTTGAAGACAGGAAGAATAACAATGGAGCCATTACTAGTGAATAGTGTTTGAATGAACCATCCACAGAGCTGAAAGAAAACTGGTCCTTCCCCAAGTCTAAAGATAGACACAATCCCGATTTTGATAAGATCCATCCCAGATGGAGCCTGCTGATTGAGTTGAACAGGAAAAATGAAATGAGAACAGATGTGGCTGTGTCCTACATCTTTCTGCATACGAAATCTCCGAACATGTTTTCATCTTATCATTTTGTTCTTCAGATTAATTGCTCAGAGGGTGTTCCCTCAACTTAACACAAAATGATCTATGTTAAGGCTGCTGCCAATGTTCCCTCTGTGTGCAAGAAAGGAGGCAGAAATACTGTTGAATTATTCATTTTTAGCTCATATCTGCAAGACAATGTAACCACAAAATCACTATTACACTCACATTTCTTAAACATGTAAAATGTCCAATTAACCCCTAGATGAACTATTTCCATATTTCCGTTCCGTTCCGCAGCACATCAAATCCTTTCATTGAATATTTGACTTTAATAATCCAATCATTTGAAATGTGCTTATCTTTGTTTCTGTATATTTGCAGAGGTATAGTGTGTTGTCTTAATAGTGATATAAAGTACTTCTGCATACTGATAATATGACAGTACAGTGCATCAACTGTGTCTCTCAGTAGTAAACTACAGCGTGCTCCTGGAGAGCGTGGAATAGATTTCATGTCTACACTAACATGGACAGTGATTTTGTTGTGAGCCAATCATATGTACAATAAAATACTTTTTCATACAAGGACATGTTGAGATACATTGGGCAAAGATTGTGCAGTTCAAACCCTCCATCTTTACCTCAATGCTAAAGTAGCCTCTGTCCACATAGTCCCCCAGGAAGAGGTAGCGTGTATTGGCAGGAGAACCTCCCACTTCAAACAACTTCATCAGGTCGAAGAACTGGCCGTGAATATCTCCACACACTGTGAAAAAAAACACAAACGAACTTAAAGACCTGAGTTTTCAGCTGCCACAGGTTAGGTGTCAGGTGTTGTGTCATCCTTGATTTTGTTGGACATACCCCTCACCTCCATGTCAGTACCCATTGGTCTGGCCAACAAACCTAACCAGCCCACCTTTGCATGCGGCCTATTGGCTGAAATACATATATGTGGATGTATTTGAACGGTTGTCTTTACCTTGTTGATTTTTTTTAAACCTTTTTCTTAAATTCGTACCTTAAATTCATACCCTTTTTAAATGATGTTTGTAATCTGTCTTTTGCTGACACAGATGAAGACCACAAACCGAAAAACGCGTCGGCCTAATTTGTTAATAAAGTTGATCTTTGTACGACAAGTGTTGCTGGAGCTTTTTGACCTCTTCTAGCTTCTAGGTCAGGTATCTACAATTTAGTAAAGAAGTCTCTTGCTTAGGTGGCTCCATATGGACATATTTGCATCTTTTTTAAACATTGCTCATCTTTCCAATAAATAGTAAAGTAAAAAAAAATTGTAATAAGAATAAATCTTATCATCAATTTCAGTTATCTATTTAAATACTTCAAATGGAAGGAGTGCATCAAGGATCTTGAAAAGGCCCACTGACAAATGCTAATGATATCATTACTATACAGCATTGACAGTTTACAGCTGATACATACAGACTGATTACTTACACACAATTCAAACATATGGTTATGACCTCATATGTTGTCTTACAGAAACATCTTTCACAATGTATTATTCATTTATAATAGCGTGCCTTACAGTAGCTTTGGTATTGTGCTAAAACTAGATCTAGTTCATCATTAGCTAGAACATATCAGCATCCTTCAGCACACCACTTAAAGTGATTTATTTGTTGAAGAAAGTGATAAATAAATGTTTTTATCTAGAGCAATCAGACTTTTTCATAAAGTTCATCACGGGTCTGATGCTATGTTACATTTTGAACGTTGTGTTTCAAACAATTTTCCACAGATTGGATCCAAAGACACATTTTTAAGTATTGATTAATATAAGGATAAAGTTCCTTTCTGCAACCATTTTCCTGTAGCCGTTTTACACGTACCTGGTTGTCTCTCCAAGTGCTTTTCATGTTAATGTGTAATTTTATGTCTGCTCCTAAGCATTCACTTTTATTGGAACTAGAAATTTGGAATGCAAAATGGCTTGAGAGACATTGAGCTGTACCTGCCTACTTCCTCAGACCAGCCTCACTGTTTCAGTAGTCTTTATAAAGCCTGTCAGTTGAGATATCAGTCATTCACCTGCCTGTCTGTTCACTTGTCAAACTTCAAGCATTTCAAGCAATAGTTCATCAAAGTACAAAACTGTTCCGAGTATGTCCCCGACATGATACCTTGCATAAAAGCTCTTTTTCAAAACAATTTTCGAAAGTTTTTGTCACTTAAATGTGTTGGCAAATCGTAGCCAGTTCTCAGGTGGGTGTTTCAGTGTCAGAATCTGTAGAAGTGAAAAAGTTTAAAACAGGCATCAATATGTTACTCATTGGAAATGAGCAGGTTTGAGAACCTCTGCACTAAGCTCCTCGTGATCCTCTGTCTCTCCATCTGCCTGTCTGTCTGTACTTGTCCCCGGGGAACATGTACCTGTGAAAGCCGAGCTGTGTTCCCACACTGCGTGGGCACAACAACCCACATAAAATTACCTCATGACTCGCATTTGCATAAATGGACACACACACACACACGCACGCACACACACACACACACACACACACACACAAACACACACACACACAAGCAGACATACACAGGTACATTATAGCAGTGTCAGAAGGTTGACAGTGCCTGCGTCTGCCTGGCTGCATGTCTGTTTTCTGTGTCCCCATCTGAAAGGTTGTTTTCTGTTTTGTTCTTCATCGATCTCCCCTCACCTCCTCCTCGCTCTGGTATTCTCCTCGGTTCATATAATTTTGCTGGCATGGGAATACATGGCGATATAACCAAAAGCTACAGCGCCTGCTATTGTAAGGCACATGGGTGCCAATCAGTTCTCTCAGTGAAGTGTGACTGAACAACAGTTCATATTAAAGGGTGGCAGATCCATGCGGCAGATTAATATTTCAATGAATGGAAAATGCTTAATTAATACATAATAACGGATAATTTTTTGCTTTTTCGAGCCACAGCCCCATTCCTCCGTCTCCATCGCTGTTTGACTGTTGCTATCTGTGCTCACTGCCCACTCTGCTTGAATTTGATCCATGAGAACAGATATTTAGCTTTTTGATGTTCAAGTAGCAACAATTCCTTATTCACATTCCTGTTGACAGTTAAATGAGAGGACCGGTACTACAATCCTGCTGCATGGTAAACACTCAGATTAAACCACAGGTGGTTAATTTAGTGAAACAGAGGGAAAAGATACAACCTGGCTCTGTCTTAAGATAATAGAATCGATATATAAGCACAAGTCAAGCTCATTTTTTGATACAATGTATCAGGGGTGTCTAAATTTAAAACTAGAGTGTAAAAATCACAGTCCAACATTTTAGCTGGGTTAAGAACCAGACTATCTTTGTTAAGAAACTCAGCAGTGACTCTCGGAAGTTCAGCTTCCTGCCTTAGTGAAGCACACATCCCTCTTTGATATGGCAAAGTGATCTGTTATTGATTTATGTTGAGGTTTATTTTTGGGCATCCTACGCCTTCAGTTGAGAGAAAAGAGTGGACAGAGTCATGAGTTCCTTCTTTTCTTTCATAACAAAATCAGGTTTTCACAGGGGGGTTGATGACATATACATCCTGCAACCTGTGCATGACCATTGACTGCACAGTGCACTCAGTACAATCTCTGCTCATGTAATGACACTGCTTCATTATGTTGTCTGTTTGCCAGTATTTTCTTCTCTGCTATTTTTTTTTTTTTTTGATACTGTGAATATGCCAAACTACTCCATACGTAGCACGGATGTCTGCCATTTCCGCGTTGTGTAATTTCCTGCTTCCTAAGATTGCCCCCCCCCCGTCCAACAGGGACAGCCTCCGACCATGACCGACATTCTAGCGGCACTATTAATGTACTCTGAATTCAAGACTAATACCCACATTATTTTTCATCCCCATGCCGTACCTGTGACTGGCGCCTCAATATCCAACATTGTGCGCTCTTGACGCAGGATGGCAGCGCCCTCATCGATGATGCGCAGTGCCACGGCCTCCTCTAGACGGCCCTCCTTTGTGAGGTGAGCTTTGAGCAGGTCCACCCGCGGCCGGCCCTCGGTGTCAAAGACCTCTTTCATGGTAAGCCGGTGGGCCAGGGGGAAGGGGACCGCTGGAGAGGGAGGTTGGGAGGACAGAGAGGAGAAGAAAGTGAGAATACGGTTTAAAAAGAGGAGAATCAAAGAGCGACGAATAAAGGAGGATATATTATTACAGATATGAAAAAGCGGAAGGGGAGTTTGAATATTTGTATTGATTGCGATGAGGGAGGTGAACCAGAAACAATGGAAGATATTGTTTATTAAATGCGGAGTATTCCTTGTTCTATATAAAATCTGGACAACAAACATGAGGATTTGATTGTGTGTGTGTGTTTGCATAACTGCATGGGTGATAGCGTGTTCACGTGCCTTCTGCATGCGTGTGAGTCTTATGGAGGCCTAGGTGGGTTGAAGCAGGGGCTGCAAGAGTTATCAGAGCTGCCTTCCTCTGTTCTGTAGTAATGTCTCTCTGCGTCTCTGCCTCTGTTCTGCAGTAATGTCTTTCTTACATAATGAAGGCCCCCAGGGTGCTGATGGAGCGGGGGGTTGACTGACAACGGGGGTGATACAGCAAGAGTGCACTGCTGCACGTGCAGGGTAACATAAACACATATGAAGACACGCTCGACAAAACAGACACACACTGATGAGCGGTCTTAACAAGCACAGACTCAGTGGCAAGAAACAAAAGGCAGAGGCTCAGGGACGCATGCGCACATCACATATGGCACAATGCTGTTAACATGCATGATTGGACGTGTGTGTGTGTGTGTGTGTGTGTGTGTGTGCCTACAGTGGAATGCACACATAGTCAAGCTCATAAAAGGTATTGTTATGCAGGATCCACAGAGCCAGTTGGAGCCCCACCAGTGCTAACACAGATAATGGCCTAGATCACAAACTAAAAACTAGGCCTCTCTCTCTCTCTCTCTCTCTCTCTCTCTCTCTCTCTCTCTCTCTCTCTCACACACACACACACACACACACACACACTTCATTCTGTCACTTTGTCGCTGTTTTGCACTCTCCTCTTTTGCCCCTTCCTTGTTTTGCTCCTGCTTACTTCCCTCTCTTTTGGTTCCCTTAACAGAACACAACAAGCCTTCAGTTAACTTGACTTTCATGGTTACATTTCAATGCGATGCTCACGTTGTTGTTTTTTTACAGTAAGGGTAGCTCAACAACCACATGAAACCACACCGCATAGTTTGATGTGATACTCACTAAAACAGTAGCATCATTAAGCCAGTATGACTCAGTTAACTTTTAAGAGTCCTTTTGGTTTGTGATGAATTTGGGACCCTCTGTGGTAACAAAGTGGTACCTCTGTTTTTCTTTTCTGATCTTCTCCTGAACATTTGGAAGTGGTGTTTTTTGATGAACTGTTGTCTTTAAAGAAAAACAGATTTCACTCAGGGCTTGGTAACATGATTGCCAAGTTGTGAACCTGCAGCAGCCAGCATCCAGAACTCATTCGATTCCTTTGCCTCAACAGTAGAACGGATGAAACCAGTGAGACCTTCTACTCCTCCTAATCCTTTCCCTTGCAGCTGGACTGAAGACAGCACCACTTTAACCACCCAAATGTGCAAATGTTTCATTGATGTTTGATCTTTGTATTCATACTTTTTGTCCACCTTTATTAACACTGAAGTAAATATTAGTTATATGCACAACGTGGTGCTCTGTGCAAGCCCTTCATCAGCCACTTACTGAAGCTCAGGCGTTGTTTTTGGGGCCGATAATTGTGATACTGTCATTGGCACCATTACACATTGCCCGTTTGTCAATCATTGCTTCCTGAAGACGTGCGCCACCCAGCAGCCTAACAAAGCATTAATAAGGGCGCACTCTAAACTAACTTCACATACCAGCACACACACACACACACACACACACACACACACACACACACAGTGGAAATCTCAACACTAACAATGCATCTAAAGCAGTGGTATTCACGTGGAGTAGCAGCATACCGTCACAATAGAAAAGCCAGTCTTAGCCGAGGTTCCAGAGAGTGCACAAGTTTGTTGTCCTGCAACTCAGGTGAGGCTCAATCATAGACTGTATACAAATGAACAGTAGGGACAGGCTTGATGAGCCGCAGTATAGACGTCATTCTGCTAATGAAAACACACATTTACCTTACTGATAAATGCCATAAATCCCTGAGGCATAAATCCCCACAAGAGAACAGATTATTGATTGAGATGGTTTGAAGTTACGGAAGGTAAATGACTCATGTTTTGGTCAATCATGGCATTTTATACCGTTTTATAGCATCACATAACAGGTTACACAAAGTCAAAAGATGACTTGAACAGTATATGCATGATAGTAGCTTTTATGACGAAACCGGGGCTTGAGAAAAATGTTTCTTATTTGCATTTTGATTTTATCGTTTGAGGGGTATATGACATGTTCTGCAGCCCGTCAGTAGGGGGAGCTCTAATCCTCTCATCTGTACTTGATTTTTAATGTTGAAAGGCAAATGTTAGTATGCTAACACACTAAACTAAGAAGATATTCTCTTAATCTAGCTTTTACATAAATCATCATCCATTTTTTATTTCTGTCAAAATCCTAAATGATATTTGGTTTTAGGGCTTTACAGACATAAGATTCATACACAAACATCAACCAGACATGCCAGATGGCCCATAAACATTAAACATCTAAGGATCACTTGTACAGCTGGGAGCTGTGATATATTCAATGTCAACACATTTTGTCTGCATTCATATTTTGCACCAGACACAAATTCTGATGCATAATGCATCCTTTATTTACCGATCATACACGAAGTAAAGAGAATGTGGGTAAAAGACACAATCTGTAGGCAGCAAAACTACAGGAACTATATCATACATTTGGAAAAGAGCAACGATAGGTCAAAGGTGGAGCTTTCGGAAAAGGACGCTGAGCACTTTGCTTGTTCTCTGGGCGGCCACCTGCTTCTCTGAACGCTTTCTCCTCATTGAAAATGGGGGCGCTCAGAAGAAAACGCTAGGTGGACACGGGGCCTAAAGCAATACTTCCTATAGGCCTATTTAGTTGAAATATCACCTAGAACAAAGAGTGTCAGCCAAGATACTGATGTTAACAAAAGCACAAACATGCTTTGATATCCTCGTGTTTTCTTTTCAAAACTGGTTGTTTAAAGTGAATTGTATTGATTTTATTGTTAAGTCAGTTATGGTAAAGTTTAGCATGAGAGAGGGGGGAGAGAACATTTGAATCTTTTTAGGTAAACAAAGGTTGAGCTGCTAAAAGTCAAAATTATATCAGAACAATTTAAACAATCGTTTCATTATTCAAATTTCAATTTCAATCATATTTTGTTCTTGTGTATGTGCAGAAGAAATGACACCCACTGCAATACAACATGCTGAGTGTCTTTGACTGCTCTGGATCAACCAGCCTATACGTGCAGTAGATAAGTGAGACCAGATAAGATCTATCAAACAAACATACATCTCAGTCATGTGTCCTACCTTGAATATCTATCTGTCACAGAATTTTAGGACTAGCTGGCTCTTTGCTTGACCTTTCAACTTTAAAACATCTAGTTAAATGTAATCCTGTTTCTCTCTAAAGCCCCTTTCACACATGCGCTGTACTCCAGAACATTTCCTAACGTCCAAGTGGACTACTTTTGTGACAATCTGTTAACAATCTTACTTTTTCCTTTCAGCTCCCAAGGACAATGTATGCAAGCTCAGGTGAGCCAATTTGTGAAAGAAGCAGGAAATAGTCTTGAACATTTACCACGTGTGAGTGGGCAGAGTGAGTGATTAAGTTGTTCAGCCTCATTTTTACTCTTTTCTTGTCCTTTGTTTGTCCTAATGACCTTATAGTGATATTAACCCAGAAACAGACGTCAGTTCAGAAGACTCCTCCTTCTCCTCCCCCTCACCAAACAAGTTGTAAGAGCTCATCCGACATCCAGTTTTCTCCTGCTATGAGGTGCATGTCCCTGATAATAATCAGTGCCTGAATGACCTAAAATTATCTAGAAAACGGAGGGCCAGGTTGTTCAAAAGTACACCATCAAGATAAACGCTATGGGATAGGATCAAACTTTGAAATCGGGTTGTTTAGCAGAAAAAAAGGACAACATATCGGACAAGATAAGGTAATCCAATCCGGGTTTTAAAACAGATAAATCCTCCTGTTTGTGTTGTTCAAAACTTTTGAGTAGGATTAATATTACTTTGATCCAAAGCAGCAGAGGGCTGGCTTCAGACTGGATTACAAAAAACAAAAAACTATTACACTGGTTAAACAACATGTTACAAAGTAGTGGATATTTGAAGATCATTTTTTAAATATATTTTCACAAGAATGCTGTTTTTCTTCAGTGACAGAGTGGATTAGGTAGACATAATGGTTGTAAAACATGAGGGATTTTATACCCATAATATATTTCTCCAGATGCAGAAGTGGAGTACGAAGCAACAGAGTCTGCTATACAACGCTATAATGAGAATATTTGCCTTTATACTAATGCTACATGTAGTTCTTCAGAATCACTATCAACAAAAGAGCAGAGAAAAGCAAGCAGGCAAACAGAACTCATGATGCAGCTGCTTAATTACGTGCACAGAGATCGTAGCGGTCGCATGCATTACAGTCTATGCACCGATTGCAGGGAATAAACTTCACCACCTCCTCCCACTTGCTGGAGGGGAATTCTTCTCACATCAGCTCACTCTGACTTCTGAGGAAAAAATACAAGCGGGCTAGCAGGAAAAACTGTGGATAAAGTCAGAGTGAAATATTCGACTGTTCGTAATCGCACATGCAGCTGCTCCTAAAACTATAAGGAGTTTTTCAGGAGTTTTGTGCAAGTGTGAAAGCCCTTTGCTGTAGTCTAAAGTCCCCTCTTGAACACTGGTTTATCTGAATTTGGCAATCCTTTAAAAGTCTGTCTGGATCAGGTTGATCCAGTTTTTCTTTGGAAAATTGGGATTAAAGTGAGCTTGATTACGTTACCTTTATTGAAAAAAGTGGACGACCAAATCCAGATATTTTTATCCAGATTGAACCCTTTGAACAACCGAGGCCC